GGTGCCCAATCAGAGTGCTCTCTGTCCAGCCAATCAGGGGCCTGGGGTGTGGCTGCTGCAGGGCTGTAGGCCTTTAGCACTAAGGCTGTTGGTCAATAGCGGTAGTTCAGCACATTGCTGTGGTGCTAAGGATGCCACCTGGGGACCTGGTGGGCCAGGATTCAATAGTGGAGTCCTGATGGTTTTACTGAATTTCAGCTCCATCCATCCTTTCTAACTGGTCCTGTAATCAGGGTCTTTCCCGGCGCTCTTTGACAAAATACCCATTGACTTCAATGAAAGCAAGATCAAGCTCAAAACACTTACACGACTCTTGAGAGAGTTCTTGGGAAAGATTCCGTTGCTCCAGAGAGGGGAAGATATGGGTATTTTTGAAGCAACATATACCTTTTGCATAATTTCTATCATAAAGGAGTTGTTGTATTTCAGAATTTTAATAATCAGCATTTAAACCCTGTGACAAATGCTGCCAGCTACTGTAGTTAGAGAGAATATATTCTTTCATCTTAGCCTGTGCTTCGAGCAAAACACTGTCCGCTGCAAATATAATAGAGCACATTTTATTTATTGACTTTAGAAAACTTTTACTGCACTGTTGAATATGTTACAATTTTAAAAGCGCCAAGCAGACCTCTCTAGCCTTTAAGCACTGTCATGGTATGAACCGCCTTATCTAACATTGCCCAGCCTCTCTTAAGGAATCAATTCATGGCCTTCAACCCGGGGGTCTGTGTGTGTGTGTGTGTGTGTGTGTGTGTGAATCTTCCACACACAACTACACTAAAAGAACATTATTAAGGTTGCAAAGTCAAACACTGGAAAATTAGCAAATGCCAGAATTAAAGTTGCCTGTGCAGTCTTAATGTGGGCCCAGTGTACATATGCACTCTAATGCTGCCTTTAATGACATGATCACTTGCTGTTTTTCCATATTTCAATGTGAGATGGCAATGTGGACCCGTCTTGCAAGCACCACAGCAGCCAAAGCAGCAGTACTTGCAAACAGGAGACTACAAAGAAACCTTTCATTTTCATTGCACGTGTGCAAACACAAGTGTGTGTGCGCACGCGTGGGCATACACAAAAGAAGTAGTATCACTTCAGTATGACCTGTTCTGTTCAGCTCTTCAGTAATACAACAGGTTTATCTAGCCTGCAAGTCCTAAAAATTATAGATGGTATGTTTTCAGTGTAATGCGCTGAAATTAGCACGCAGTTGTGGTTAGCTTACACAGAATGGACCCTTTCTTCTTTGCAGAGGAAAGGCTGCATTTCACTTCTAACTTTGTGACAGGTATTTGAGTCGAGATTCACAGCACCACGCGATGGACAGGGGGCTGTGCTATAGTCCTTTTATCCTGATCTGTCTCTCTTGAATGCACTTTTGGCTTAAAGTGAATAAGTGGCCATACTTTGAATATTATTGATATGCTTTGTGGGTGAGTAGCAAGTTTGAATGCTAACTCAGGACAGTGTATTATAATAGATGCTCGTTAGAGTAGGGTTTAAGAATGACATTGTCTTAATGCTCAAATGTAGAAACACCTAACAAAGCTTTTCAAAAACGGTTCGCTAAATTCAAGCTTGTAGGCCAGATTTCTAAAGGTGCAGAGAGGCACCTAGTGGGAGCTACAGAAGTGTCTAAATACCTTTTTGTAAATCTGGGTGCTAAATCCTTATTGGGAGCCTAAAGCCATGTCTGCTCTTAATGAGTCTTAAGCATGTGCTTGACTTAAGTAGGTTTTAAGTACACGCATTGGTGGTTCTTTTTTTCTGAATTGGGGCCTAAATAAGTAGCATTGTCATCAGTGGGAGCTGCTGATGTGTAAACCAGACCACATTCCAGGTCTATATTTGAACATAGGCTCCTAGCTTTTGAACTCCTATTTTTGAAAATCCTGGCCTGAACAAAATGCACAACAAATATAGCATGCGCAGTGTTTCCTAATGGCAAACTACTGCAGTTTCCATCCCATAAGACTGAATCATAAAAGATTAAATTACCGTGCATTTTCCACACATGGAGTAAACTAAATTGATTCTCGATGAGTCAGGTGTGTGTGGGGGGGAGGTGTATTTGTGCTCAGAACACCCATTAACACTGATGAGTTATCCTTGTAAATCTTCCATGTAGCGTGAAGAGAATAAATCTCTGCATGTAAAGCATTTGATATGCAATACTTGTAAAATACAAAATAATATGAAATCAATTACAGCAGTCCTGACCCTGCCTAAGCATTTATTAAACATTATGCATGGTATTATTAAACAGGAAGCCAGTGCTGAAGGAATTTCAAAGATGAAATAAGACTAAATTACTGAGCTCTGATGTTTTAAGGTTTGGTATTAAACTGGAATTCTTCAAAATCTTCATTCCTTTTTTTCTCTTACCACTCTTCTGTAGCCTTTTATAAAAAGTGATTCATCAGAACATAGAAACATTGTAGAATTATAAATATTTCTTTTGTAAACAAATGACCCAGACCTATTTTGAGCTCTATTTTCTGTCCTCACAGGGCCTGGTTTCTGGTAAAGTCAATGGAAGTTTTTCCCACTGGAGATTTTGCTTATGAAAGCGGTTGAAGTCAATGAGATTTAAGTGTGTTCTTGAAATTAAGCATCTGCTTTCCTGCATGGCAGTGCATCCTGAGAGTGGGATTTGATCCACAGTAAAATTAAACATGAAATTCATGTGTTACAGTATTTTCCACTGCTATTGCTATGTCTGCCCTTGTTTCTTTACAGCCTCTCAAATACATTTTTAATTATTCTGTAATGTAATCTGAGATGCATAAAAAGATCTCTATTGTACATGTTAGAAATTATGGAGTATCTCTCTTGATACCTCAGTTCTTGAATGTGCTGCAAATTTGCCAGGTGTCCTGGCCTCTGTGATCTCTTATTGATGTCACCCAGAATTCTGAGCCGCTGTGTTACCACTCTGCCTCAGGAAGAGTGAGCTTTGCTGCTGATAAACAATGTGTCAGCTCCCTGATGCACCAGCTTGTCCACCCTGCCAGCAAACTCTTCAGGACTCCACCAATCCAAATCTTGCCTTGCAGGGAGAAATCTGTTACCCCTTCAATTCCAGAGTTTTCCCCACTGATGGCTTTCTGCAGTGTCCAGTTCCTCTCACTGGACACTCACAGAAGTTAGGTTACCTGAAGACCCACACTTCCCTTGACTATAACAGAGCTGAGATGGTTTGTAATAAACCGAGAAAAAGTTTGTTAATAAAGAACATAGGTTTAAGTGATTTCAAGGAAGAGTGGAAAAGAGATGAAAGGTTGCAAACAAAACACGCTTTCTAGAGACTAAAACTTCAGCAAATTACAATCTTTGTCTTGTTTCAGAGTAGCAGCCGTGTTAGTCTGTATTCGCAAAAAGAAAAGGAGGACTTGTGGCACCCTGTAGCTCACGGAAGCTCATGCTCAAATAAATTGGTTAGTCTCTAAGGTGCCACAAGTCCTCCTAATCTTTGTCTTAGTCGCTTTCTCATCAATAGTTCGCAGAGCCTTCGGCCCCCTTGGCTGAAAGCCCATTGTCGCTGTTTCAGGAGCCAGGAAGGCTTCCTAGGGTACAATCTCCATCCCCCATTGTGATCATGAAGTGGTCATCTCTCCCACTTGCTAGTCTGCTTGCTTTGTTTACCTTGTCTGTAAATGTGCTTCCATTGTTTCTAGCCTCACCTTGTTCAGTTTACATTGAAGAGACTGTAAAGCTGGCAAAACAGCTTTCCTTTGCCTAGAACAGGCTGGGCTTATCCACATTTTAAGAACGTATTTCTAGCACACATCTAGTATTCTTTGTATAACACCCCATACATATATATGCGATGATATTAATGACCAGCATGTTACCAGTGTGCATAGGATACCTTTCTGGGACACCTTTTAGTTACAGATTCTAACAGTGAGTTGGAGCAATGAATGAGTTATGGTATGGTGTGCCCTCTGCCGGTTGTCACTGAGGGGCTCCCTGGGTCACAGCCCATCAGTGAGTCTGATTCTTCCTGTTTATACGTATTTTAATTTTCAAAAATACAGATGGTCTCTCTGCTAAGCAGACTAGGGTAATTGTTTAATGGCAAACAAAACAAAAGTTGAAGATTCCCATTTCCTCAATATGCAAGTGCCTTTAAAAGTCTCCATGCATATCCTGAATGTTGATGCTCAGATCAACACTCAGCATCTAAGTATTCATTTTCCATGACTACATGTGGAGTGGCGTGTTTAAATGAGGGATCGCTCAGTTAAGGTCCCTATGCTTCTCATCCTGCAACTTGTGTGCCGGCTGACTGCTGGACTCCTCGGAGCTTATTGGAAGCTCCGCACAAGAGCAGTAGTCTAACCACACTTAAGAAGTTGCAGGCATGGGGCCTGTGTTTGTAAATTAGACCCAAAATATGAATTATGAGAGATGCAGATTAAGATAAGTGCTCTTGCTTCATTAGTACTATTGACTTTTACCAAATTCACCTAAAGGGATAAGGAAAAGGTGGGGGGAGAATGGCAGAGAGAAAGAAGGGAAACAATAATGGAAAAAAGAAAAGAACTCAGTAAATAGACCCCGTGGGCTTTCATATTTGTCTTCGTCACTTTGCAAATGTTGACAATTTGGCTCTCATCATGAGTTACTGCTAATTATGATGATAGCAGCCTGATCATGATTTTGGGGGCTAATAACTTTTCAATGATCACATGGAGAACTGAACAGGGTTCTGGGACTTCTGTGCAGAATGACACCTCAACACCTAGAAAGGTGGACAAGGGCACTGAATGTAAAACGATATAAATCTTAATACTTACTCTGCTTTTGTTAGGCTACTGTGGAGACTCTGAGCTATTTAAATCTTTAAAGTACTCTACCTGATGTCTCTATTAGTGAAAATTAATTAGAACTCTTGACTCCCAAATGAGAAGCTTTTGAGAAACCTTAGATGAATATTTTTGCTGTCATCTCTGTCCTCCTATGCTTTGACAAGTCCTGTTGTTCTACAGGCCGATGTTGGTTGGATGCTCTGGAACTTGCCCTGCGTTGCTCCAGTCTCTTCCGACTCAGCACCTCCAAACAGGGGAAGGATGGAGACCTGAACTGCTCTTCTGATTCTTCACATGCTGGGCTGTATAACCTGTTGCACACAGCCACCATCTCTGACCAGGAGCTCTTCCAGTAAGACTATGCTTTCAGCTATTGTACATGTAAAGGTGTCAGTTGGTTTGTATACTTGACTCATTTTAACCATATTATTTTTTCAGAATCCACACTAGCCACCACAGGCTTGGTGAGGGGCTATAGACTAACCTGTCTCAAGGTCTGACTCTGTCTGGGTTCTTATACCACACCCATCACTAACATCTGGGTGTCTTTTGCGGGGGATGGGGAATAGCTTTCAGTTGGGTGCTGTCCTATAGCCGACAAACTATGAACAGCTTGATTAGAGTTCCAGCTGTGTGAATGTGCATAACAAAGGACCCATATTGCCTTAGTTGGGCCAAACGTCTGTTGAAGCTGATGGTGGGTAGGGGTGGGGATAACCTATGTAAAGCGTATCAGTCTACCAGTGAGTCCAGCCAACAAATGGAGTATGCTAACTGGACATACCCACTCTAGCATCTGGCACCAATTGGTAGATATGGCCATGAGTCTGGATTTTTTTTTTATTATAGTGATGTTCTCTCCATGCTAATAGTAGTACTGTGTTATAGTCAGGAGAGCGCACATGCTGCATGGCTATAGTTTCGTAACTGCTGTCTCCACTGAGTTGGTGAGTTCGTGGTTTCCTGCCTGTTCCCCAACTGCATCATAAGATTAAAATTTTCATTAAAAAAGTCACTGCCACCATCTTGCTATCCACGCTCCTAATATTATAGCAGCATGTCCTAGCACTTCACTTTAAAGACTGTTGGAGTAAACACAAGGGTTTTCTCTGCACCTTACAGCTAGATAGGTTGCCTTAAAAATCTCTCTGGTCTAGAGGATAGGACACTGAACATAAAGACAGCCTGGTTCTGTCTCTGAGTTGTGTGAATATAAGAATATTATAACAATAGGAGAATCCAGGTCCTTTTCAGAATGTGGAAGCATCTTTGCTAATCACAAGGCAGGACACAGACTTGTCAGAAGCTCGGTGACCCAAAGCAGCAATGTATGTGCAGTTCCCTTGTTTTGCAGGGCAGTTGTATTTTCAGCACTTTATGCTTGCCATTATTCTTCAGTGCTGAGCAGACCTTTCTTCGATACCCAGCTATAATTTGCACCAGGTGAGAAAACCTGGATTTGTGCTGGAAATGGCCCACCTGTTGATCACTTTAGATAAGCTATTACCAGCAGGACAGTGGGGTGGGAGGAGGTATTGTTTCATGATTTCTGTGTGTATATAAAGTCTGCTGCAGTTTCCACGGTAAACATCTGATGAAGTGAGCTGTGGCTCACGAAAGCTCATGCTCAAATAAATTGGTTAGTCTCTAAGGTGCCACAAGTACTCCTTTTCTTTTTAATGATCCGAGTGTCTTTTTCCTTTTCTTTCCTTTTCTTTCCTCTCTCTTCTCTCTTTTCTTTTCTTTTCTTTTCTTTAGTTCCCCAAGGTATAACATGGCGTGAGACAGAGCAGCAAGAAATCAGATGTATTACTTGGCCTTGCAGATTTAATTGTGCTTGTATGTGTTTATCTTATGGGTCTGTCCTTTGATGTTGATGTCTCAGATCTCCTACTCTCTTCTTAAGAATAAGTATACAAATAATAATGCCTCCACTGAGAGCCTTTTAGTTGATAGTGAACTAATGAATGTTGTGTAGCTAGCCTTTAAATGGGGATTGGTTGACTGTAAGGTTCTAAGTAAAAAGAAACACTGAGATATATGTTGTGGTAGAGAGTTTGTGCCTTTCTTCAGTTATGTGCATATGCCAATCCTGTGTAAGACTGTAAAATCAGATACTGTGTGCTGGTAATGGAAATGCTATTGGCGTTTACTGCAGTTTTGTCTGAGGGTATGTTTGTGCTTGTTTGTTCATATAATACTAGTCCTTAGGGGCTTCAACCAGGGTTTGGGTCCCATTGTGCTAGGTGCTGTACAGATAAGTAAAAGAGACTGGCCCCACCCTGGATAGTTCACAGTCCATATGCCACCCCTTCTCTTGAGGGGCACCATTATGATGTCATGCCACAAATAAATCCACTACTGTGTCTGTGGATCAGAAAGGAAAATGGTGCCTTGGGAATGTGCATTCAGACCCACAGCTGCAGTTAATAGAAAGTATAGGGTAAAGAAGAGAATGCATTAAGCTTCTAACTCAAACATAAATCGTGCATCTACAACAGCTACTCTGTTCTCTGCTCATTGGTTGAATTTTAAGGGCCCTACTTGGGCCTCCTGAACTTAGCAGCTTCCCATAGGGCCAGAATTTCAAAAGAGCTCAGCCCCTTGGCCATACTTCTGGGTGCTAACCCTCTTCAGAGCCTGGCGTGCAGTGTAGCTCGCTCTCCGTTCTGGTGTGTTGTGTGGCTCTACCACGGTATTCAGTTTTTCTCAATTTTTTGAGGCTTGGAGAATTTGGCAGCTACGTAACGAGAGCACAAATCCCCCAAAGCAGCAGCAGCGGTGCAAAATGGGGTGGGAGGGAGTATGTGGAAAACCAGCTATCCAAGTGTTGAGGAGATTCTTGGTTTGCCACTCACAGGGACTCATTCATTCTGATTAAATGTCTTCCCTTCAGGGAATCCTGCCCAATTAAGTTGGCATGCTGTTATTAGAGGACCAGTTAATTACATTTAACTGTATCTTCAGATTAGTCAAACTACTCTGCCAAAAAATAAAATGGAGACAGATGTTCTATATTGGGGGGGGGGGGCGCTGCCGCTCCCCCTGGGGGAAAAATCTTCTCTTGAGCCAATACTGTAATTTTCCCCTTGCTATTTCTGTTCCTGTATTGGTGGGAAAAAGAGAGGAGACAACAATAGCAAAAATCAATCTATTTAATAATGGAAAAGAGGGTGAACTTTCAAAGCACCTTGCAGGGTCACAGCCTCTCGACTCCCCTAGAAATAAATGGGAAATTGGTGGCTAAAACACTGCACAAATCCGTCTTGATGTTAAGCGTGAGGCTTTACGGGGAATAGAGACTTCTAATCTGCCTTTTGATACAGTACACGTGGATGGAGGACAGTAACATAGCCCTGAAACAAAGGGTTTACTCTTGTTTGAGCGAGCGAAGGTCTTCTGCTGCTTTTAAACACTGTTATTACAGCTCTGCATTTGGGATTTGACCCAAAGCCCATTAAAGCCAATTGGAGCCTTTCCATTGATTTCAAAGGATTTTGAATCAGGGTCATAATTTGGCTTTTGTTTTTAATGTATGTATTTACTGATTTTTTTTTTTTTAATTTTCATTTTTATGATCCTGTTTGAAATGGCGTGGCTCCATTTCATTCTCCCCATCTGTCAAGTTTGATGTTCATGCTGAATAGCATGTGTCTTCCTTTGTGCTCCCCACAGTAGTGCTATAGCTCTGAGTATATTGAGGTTTGGCGTGTAGAAAAGGCTGATGTGGTAATTACTGCACAGAGTTGTTAATTGGGGAATTTTAGATGAGTTAACTCCCTCCTGTTCCACTGCTCTGGAATAACTGAAATTCCAGAAAAGTGTCTTTGCAGAAGGATTTTTTTGGTTAGGAAAGAGCAGAAGTACAAAAGGAGTAAGATGTGCCCCAGCAGAAAGTTTAAATCATCTCACAAATTAAAGGAAGATCATAATTAACAGATGTTGGGCTTTTTACAAATGCTGTTTATTTAAGCATGTGCTATTTCTCAAACATTGACACTAGCCCATATTGTGAACCTTTCTCTCAAGTACACACATCCCAAGGAGAAGATTTTCACAAGGGAAGGGAGCATAACAACCGAATGCAGAACAATGACAAATTGTGTTGATTGTTGACCCCAAAGAAAATAAATCAAGCCTGAATTGTCAGCAACAAACAAATGATCTGCCAAACCAGCAAGTATCTGCACTGTGAGATAATGGGATAATCTCTTGCCTCCTTTCTCTCCCACATCTCTCACCATCCCCTGCCTTCCACACCCCCACTTCTTTTATGGTCTTAAATTCACATATACACTAAACTCAACTTCAGATTAACTTTTCAGTCGTCATGCCTGGTAGTCATTGTCTGAAACAAAACACAGAGGCCTGATCCTGGCACTGAAGTCATTGGAGCTGCATAGTTTATAATATCAGAGCATCGGTGCTGGAATGTAATAGCCATTAATCCTCTGCCCCTAAATCTATAATCATATTGATTATTGCGAAAAACTATCATTTAAATATAGAGATTTGAAAAACAGCTCCCACGTGTATAAGACGCTACTGGCCAGACTGTCAAAAGAGCACAACGGACTGAGTACTGGGCTATTCTAGAAATCTGACCAGCGGTGTTGCCATGGAGACTGTTGGGTGCTGAGCACTTTTTGAACACCTGGCCCTTATATGGGAGCCTAAATGGGCACTGACAATCTGACACCAATTCGAGAGAGAGAGAGAGAACACAAACGCAAGCTCACAATAACCACAAGCGAGTTCTCAAAGTAATATAGAATCAAAACATCAATGTCTCCAAAGAGAGCTGGTGGGAAAACCCATTATGGAGCCATTTAAAACTAGACAAAGCATTCTCATATACTTAAGAGAGATCCTGCTTTGGCTGGGAGACGGACTAGGTGACCTAATGAGTCTCTTCGATCTCCATTTTCTTTGATTCTCTGAAATACGTTGGTAATGCAGAAAATCTTTTGTTACTGTAAGTGAGCGGCTCGTGTATTTAAATTATGCATAGAGCTTGTGTGCCTCTTAGGATTCGCAAGATGAAACCTAATAAGCTTTGTCTATGCTAGTAAAATTGCATAGTTCAAGAGATCATGATCTCTACTGTCAATATCACCTACTGATTAAAATTAAGACAGTCATTGATATTGCACACTGGGATAATTCCCAAGGATATAAAACAAGACACTGCATGGAGGCTTCATAGGAGTCTGTGACATTCCAGAGTGCAATCCAGGCTAGTGAGGGACTCTGTCACCCCTGCTCTGCAACCTTGGTGCCTTACAATGCCTTACAGCAGTAGCTCCATCCTGGGCCTGCTCACAAACAGCCGTCCAGCATGGAAGCCACACCCTGAGTGTCTGTGTGTAACTGCAGGCTGCCGGCCACACTTCGCTTACAATCTGGCTTTTACCAACCTTGGTTACTCCTGTAGGGTGACCTGACATGCACCCAGTCCCAGATTTCCCCCCATCTCCCCTAGTGTGTGTTCTGTACTGGCTAGTCCTCTCCTGGACAGTCCAGAGATATTAGGTCCGTTGTCCTTTTAAGGGAACAATACACAGCTTGCCACCTTAAATGGAATTACCCAGACAATTTAACTTGACTAACCCAGTGTGTTTTCAATTAAAGAATAAAACAAGTTTATTTCACTACAAAGAGTTTTTAAGTGAGTACAAACAATGATGCATAAAAGTTAGAAATGGTTACAAGAAAAATCAATATAAAATGCTTCCTAGTGCCTAACTTAACAAACTATACTTCATTCAACGTACAGTCCTTACCACATTCTTCCAACAGCATAACCGATCAACCTTTTCGGGTCAGGACCCCTCCCCCAAAGTCCAGCGGCCGTATCTTTTGCCCTCTTAAATGCAAAGAGGGAGATGGACAGAGCAAGAGATACCGTGGGGTGTTTGGACCCTCACTTCTATACTTCAGTCCCTCTCATAAAGTTATTTTCAGTCGAGAGCAAGTAGATATCTGTTGAGGGAAGATGCTTCATGTTGTTTTCTTGCTGAGATGTAGATTTTCTTTGTCTCCTCTCTTTTCTCTCTTGGTGTCTGAAGACTCTGTTTACAGTTTATATGCAAATTGAGGTAACCACAAACATTCTTTTGTTTAAGACCTGCTTGACACTTGTGCCCAATTGGGGCTTGAGATTGAGCAGGTCCCTTTAACTATGTGAGTTTGATCATGTACCTTTAACATTATACAGGGTGGATTTTATAACTTTTCACACAATAAGAAAAGGAGTACTTGTGGCACCTTAGAGACTAACCAATTTATTTGAGCATGAGCTTTCGTGAGCTACAGCTCAAAGTGAGCTGTAGCTCACGAAAGCTCATGCTCAAATAAATTGGTTAGTCTCTAAGGTGCCACAAGTACTCCTTTTCTTTTTGCGAATACAGACTAACACGGCTGTTACTCTGAAACCTGTCATTTTCACACAATGTTGCTACATACATGTCACCGATATTATTGATCAGTGACTTACTAGTTTTCAAATGATACTTCACAAGGCATATTTTTTACAAAGATTATTACAAGAGTATGTAGGGTGTGGATGCAGGGGTGCACTTGGTCACAGAGACATGGGCCATATCACAATAAAACAGTTCCATGGGGGAGTCTTATATTGGCACTCTAAATTGCACAGAGACCCAGAGTATGACTCTGAGCTGGAGGGAACATAGTTACATCTGTGTTGCTACAGATGACTTGCCATCTTATAACCCATTGAAGGGGTGGGGGGAAACATTGGGTTCATGAACAGAAAAGAAAACTCTGTGAGATTTGGTAGAATTGCCTTAATTGACTGAGTGGTAAGCCCCTTCCTTGCCATATTTTAAATTAACTAAACTTAAAGTAATAGTGTTTCTTATCTATGAGAAACTAAGTATTAATATGGAAAATAACTGAGCACTAGGCACTAAGTTTTACTTTGAAACATAGAAACTGCCACTCTGGGTCAGACCAGTGGCCCGTCTAGGCTAGTATCCTGTCTGACATTGACCAGGACTAGCTTCTTCAAAGGAAGGTGCAAGAAACCCGGCAATTCATAGGATAACCTGCCCCAAAGAACTTCCTCCTAACCCTCTTTATTTGGAGGTTGGATTATGCCCTGAAGTATGAAGGCTTATATCCTTTCCAACTCATAGTAGTAAACAAAAACCAGAACTCTAGATAGTCTTGTTTTCCACATAAATGTCTAATCCTTCTTTTGAATGCTGCTAAGCTCTTGGAGTTGTCAATATCTAGTGGCAATGAGTTCCACAGGTTAATTGTGTATCATGGAAGGGGGGCAGCATTTCCTTTTATCAGTAGTAAATTTACCATTGAATGTTCCTTTGACCTTTATTGTTTTGACTAAGCATCTTCCTCTACTGAAGTAGAATAGTAGTGGTGGTGGTGATGACGATGAAAAGAATGTATTCCTTTTTGCTGTCCTTTGCCTTTGCCACATGTTATGTGCTACTGGCTGGTTCTTCTGCAGGCAAAAATCTCTCTTCTCTGAGACACCCTGCAGATCTCTGTCTGAAGAAGCAGTCACTGTTGCCTTTTTGCATTCATTCTGTATGTCGAGTTTTGATTGAAGCCAATAGGAGTTTCTCATGGGGCAAATGCAGATACGCAGTGGAGCTCCACAGTGTGGACTGAGAGGAGAATTGTGACCTAAATGTTTTACCGCTCCTATGGTATAGACCTAACCACTCAGCAAGCTGTTGTCCTTCACTCTTTTTGGTTGCAAGCCTTATTTTGAGTCCTGGGGGCTTTTTTCATATTAGCTAAAATGCTTTTCATAATCTGGCTTCATAAATCAAATTGAGCAATGTAACAAACCATGTATTTCAGTTTTAATGAATCAGCCCTGGAAAATCACCACGTGGAAAATGATGCTTTTTCGGACAAGTCTGAGAGAGACAACATAGAGGAGTCTGAGAATGAAACTCATGAGAACAGCCGGAAGACGAATGAAAGTGAGAGTGACCAGTCTGAAATCCATGGGGATATCTCCCAGGAAAGGAAAGGGACGACCTATATGGAGCAGATCTATGAGGAATTTGGGGAGGTAAAAAGCATTCTGAACTCTATCTATTCCACTGAAATATCTCTGGGTTCATAGTGTTCATCTCTCCATTGTATTCAGCCTCCTGGATGCAGGACAGTCGAAAACTGCTCTGTGAGTTCAGATATTTTACAGGTAATGTTATCTGAAGATTTCTGCCAAATTTTGTTGAATTGTTCTTATTCAGTAATGGCGTGTTACGAACAGCAGCTCCCCTGTTGACCCTTGGCATGTTTCCAGGGTCAGCGAGCACTTCTACTGGGCATTGCATTAAGGAGCTATATAGCATTGCCACAGCTCATTACACTGCGGGAGGGGAGGTATCATTCCAGGCAGGGTCGTCCTTACCCATACACAAAGCACGCAGCTGCGTAGGGCACCAGGAAATTTGGGGCACCAAATTTCCTGGTGCCCTGCACAGCTGGTTGCTGCTCCAGCCCCTGCTTCGGCTCTTCCCCAGGCCCCTGCTCCCCCCCCCCCCCCAGCCCCCGCCCCCACTCCCCTGAAGATTGCAGCCAGGCCCGACCCTGCACTCACCTAGTGGTAAGTGGAACGACCCGGCCTCAGCCTGCTCAGCTCCCCTGGCTCCCAGCCGCGCTGCTGGCGAGTGTTGGGGGGCAGTTTCCCCACCCTCCCCCAAGCCTGGGAGCCAGGAGAGTAGAGCAGCCTGGGGCCCAGGCCTCCAGGAGCTGGGGGAGCTGGCCCCAGGCCTCCGTGGTGGGGGCTGCGTAGAACACCAAAATAGCTAGGGATGGCCCTGATTCCAAGCCTGTATCCTCACCAATTAGGATGCTTCAGTCCATTGCCCGCTGCAAGATATGGGACTTTCTTATTCACGTTACACAAAATGAACCTTTTGTGTGTCCTAATGAACATCTGAGCCACTTGGTCTCCTACGTGAAACTGCCATTTAGGAATCCATTTTTCAAATTGTTTAACATTAGAATGCATTCATGTCCAACGTGAGGGCCTTTGTTGGCTTTGTCACTGTGACTTCTTTGATGAAGATAATGTTAGAGCAGCTTGTGGAGTTGACAGCATTGGACGAGAGTCAGCTGGAGGAGGCTGGGAGCCAGAGGGGTTACTCTGGATTTACACCAGGAAAGCTGAAATCGGAATGTGGCCCACTGTTTAAACAATTAAATTAAATTCCTGTTGATGCATCACAGAGAAGCATTCTGCTCTAGAGATGTCTGCCCTGGGGATTTACTCTGATTTCAGCCATCACTGGCCAGACAGCACTGTAGCTGCAGCAGTCCAAACCTTTAGCATAGATGGGGTAAATAGCTACAAGCCATGACGTGTACCAGTGCAGTTGGACCCTGGTTTCTTGCAAAGATAAGCTATGTACAGGTGCAAATAGTGGCGTTACCTGTCTATATTAGTAGGTTGCATCAGTGCAGCTACACTGGTGGCCAGAACCATGACAAACTCCCAGTGTAGTCAAGGCCTCTGTCTCATGGCTTGAGACCTCCCATCTGTGTTTATGGCTAAGGAGGCATGACTGGAAGAAAAAATAAATAAAAAGGTTGTTCAGGGGCAGCCATTCTTCTGCTTGGTCACTGCTCCTGCTGTGTCTTGCTCCCTTCAAATCCTAACGTACAGCAAGCAATTACAACACAAAGTATTATGACTCCAGAGTAAGAATATGCACAGGAACAAAGAGAAATTAATTCCGTCCATGGAAATTGGTATTTAGACCACTTCTAAAACGTGTCTGTGTCACATGATAGACTGTCATGGAGGTGTTAGCAGGGTAGATAATTTGGCACTTCTTGAAGAAGTGGATTTTTGACCCAGCTGACTGTAATTGCTCCATTCAGTGGTGGAGAGTACACCTGACTAAAGTATGTGGTGCCCTTTTTAATTCTAAATAAGTTTACCTAAGCTATAGGAAAAGCTCAGTGCAATGGAATAAACTTTGGTTGTATGGAGTGGCACCTTTCATGCTGAGTGTAGCCTAAAATGAGATAAATACTGGCAGCAGATTGTGCAGGCAAATTTGGCACCCAGTATGCCCTCAAATTGTTCATACACTGCTTTGATCATTGGGTGCTGTTTTTCATATTTCTGTTTAGAGAGAATGCTTGATCTTTTTTCCACCTGGACTTGCACCTGAGACAGGTGAAAGGGACCTCGGTGTAATATCTCAACTAGATGGTGCCACTACCGAGTGAAGCACACCCCTCCCTTCAATACCACACTTCATTATCAGCACTGGGATGGTTCTGAGATATTGAGCTGCAGTAGCCAATTTACAACATAATCCTCCTAAAATATGTGCATGCTTTCTACCCTACGAAGGATGTATAAACTTTTGATGCTATGGCCCAAATTTTGTAGGTTATTTTTTTTTTTTTGTTCTGCAGATTTTCAGCAAAGTTATGGAAGCTCAATTGAGGGGTATGTACATGCACTTCTACCTAACTTTCAGCTTTGCCTTAACTAAGCTTCCATATTTGTGCTAGAAATCTGCAGCACAAAACCCGTTGCAGGAATAAAATTCCTGCTTGCAGAATTTGTCCCATAGTATCAAAAATTACACATCTTTACAAGATGGACTGACAGCAAAAAGAACTTCATTTGGAAAGCTTTAAGATAAGAAGTAGGAAAGCTTCTCTCCCCTACTCCCTCCCCTTCCCCTCATGACTCACTCTTCGGGTAAATCCTTGTATATCAAGTCCAATCTGGAATTAATTTGTATTGCCAAGATATACACACCTGAAAAGCTGGGTAAATAAGAAACAAGCTGACAGACTCAGAATTATCAAGTCCTAGCTAGCACTACTGTAATAAGTTCTCTAGTGGTTTCCATTTCTTCTCTGAGGCTTAAGCTGCATGAGTCTCTGTCACCAGAAGGATGGTAACATAATAAAAAAGTTTCACTGTTCCTCATTCCCAAGTTTTCTAAAATACTACTTTTCCCTTTTTCCAAACCTTGCTCTAATGCAAGAAGTGAGGGAGCAGATTCTCAGCTGCTGGTGTATATTCGCTCTACTGACTTACACCACCTGAGAATCTGGCCATTGCAGGGTGTAAAAACACATTGCTCCCCAGAACTAAATTGCATTTTCAGAAATGGACCTATTTCACTCCCCTGTAGAAATCTTTTGCGTGGGCCACTAAAAGCAGCAGAAATCCTGATGAGATAAATAGACCATTATGTTCCCTTTCTTCATTTAACTCTAATGCCCAGGGTGGCCTTTGTGTACTAGCTCTGATAACTAATAGCAATGTTGAACTTCACGGTATAACTTCTAATCCTGCTGCTTGAGGGGGCTGTGCATTCTGTTCAGTGATATCCATGTAATTCTGTTGAAATCAAAGGAAAAACCGAAGTGTAACTGAAAGCAGTACGTGGTCCCTGACTTCTGCTGGTGAAAGATGCTGATTGAGAGTCCTGCAGGCTATAGTTCTTGATTAATTCCACATGACTGCCTCCACAAGGGCCACGGCAGTGTAAGCTGTGTCCCACTTGCCCCATTGTATGTTTTGATCGTGAAGGACCGCTTCCACTCTCCATTGTCTGTTCGGTCACTGGTCCCTCTGCTAAGTTTGTCAACAACATGGTGGGTTTTGCAGTCGTTTTATTTTCTGTCCAGAGTAAGAGTGAGAATACCACTCATTCTACACAACCTACCGTTACACACTGTAATGACTTTTGCTCCCTGTAGACCTAAGGCAGGTTTGAACTGTTTTCATAGAGGGTTTTACCATTCTCAATCCCCTTGGGCTATCCAGGCATATGTGCTTTGCTTTAACCGTTGCTTTCTGTGCTGACTTTTTCTCCTTTCATTTAGACGGGTGAATCCTCTCAAACAGAAACGGTCTCGGAAGAAAACAAGAGCTTGATGTGGATTCTGCTGAAGCAGCTGCGGCCTGGAATGGACTTGTCCCGCGTGGTTCTGCCCACCTTCATCCTGGAGCCACGTTCTTTCCTCAACAAACTCTCTGATTATTACTACCATGCTGACCTACTTTCCCAGTAAGCAGCACTTATGGCAGGCTTAGCAGGGATGTGTTTCCCAGCTCTGTGAACATGTGTGAGAGCATTAGTCTGTTTCTGGCTGGACCATTTGTACGCTTGAGAAGTCCCACAAATAATGCATGAGTCTCTAGTTTGATCTGTGTAGCTGTAAATTAGGTTAGGAATCAACATCAGTGACCTTTAAAAACAGACTGTTCCCGTGGAAACCAGTGATGTGGGGGGGAGTAAGGAAAACGGGAAACTCTGGACAAAGCTTCCTATGCACCCTTCCCTCGAGTATGGGCTGGAATGGACAGAGGTTCTGTTATTTATTATAAGCTTGTTATAATAGTACTACTCCACCTTCTGCTGTACCTGTGGAAAGAGATTTTTGGACAAAGTTTACAGGAGAATATGTTTAAGCAAACCTGCCACCACCTGAAACCAATATAATTAGTGGCACTTGGAGATAAATAGGGGCTTTTCTTCTGACTCTGTTGAACTGAGCAGTGTTTTGGAGGGTAGAGTGGAGGAAAATAAATATTTTGCCTCTTGAATGGGCATGCTGGGTATGTTCTAACAAATTGAAATTATGCAATATTCATTCATAACATTACATGGATGGGTTTGTGCTTTATTATTATTTATTCTGTTGCCTTCAGCCTTTCTTAAAATCCCAGGGCATTTTCAAGCTTATTTGTCGAGATCCAGTTACACCGTTTGTAAGATGCAGCTTGCTAGGTGGCTGTGTTTACCCTGGCTCTTACTGATGGTTAGGTGAACCTCAGGAAGGTTGGAGGTTTTATTCAGATAAGCATCTTGAAGTCTGGATGTTACTTCTCAGTAGACTACCAGTTTTGTATCTGGTTGGAAATACACTGAGGACAGTTTCATCACATGATCACTTCCTGCTCCATCTAAAACTGGGAAGATTTAAAGTGGTCAGGCAAGTGCTAAATTTCTGATTCTCCCAAGAAGTTAAAGGTGTTGGTTGATTTTGAGTGATAGGACTGGACCAGTTACTATCTTATGACCTCTACACAATTTCGGATCAAGTGGCAACCCTAAAGCCAATTATTGCCCTAAAGATGAGATTATTGCTTTGGGATTTTTAGTGGGGCACACACCTGCTAGTCAATTCCAAGAAATCCCACAGTTTGTGTGTTTGACTTGCGTACACCACTAAGAAACCAATATCCACTGGGGGGAGGCAGGGGTGCTTTCCCCCTCAATAGTAGCAGCATAGTGTTTGTCAAGACATGTAGGGCCTGGTTCATCACTGCATTACTTCAGTTTTATGCTGGTGCAATGCTGAAAAATCAATAGCATTACACTGGAATTAGATTGGAGTCACACAGTGATGAATCAGACATGTAAATGGTACAAAAAGCATTTTGAGTAAATGTCCTGTGTCCCTTCTCCCACAGAGCTGCGCTCGAAGACGATCCATACAGTCGAATCAAGCAAGTGTTGAGATGGTATTTGTCAGGCTTTTATAAGAAGCCAAAGGTAAGACATTGCATAAACCTTGTAGATATAATAAACATTCAAACTTACTGCTTGTATAGTTTGGATTTATTTTCTTGCCTTTCTCTTGATCATTCATTTCTCCTTTTGTTGTTCTTACCATTTTACTTATTTAAAACTGAATTTACGGGGGATATGGTGGGCAGGGGGAGCAGGGAATAGCAGCAGGTTATCAGAAATGGGCTCAGCTCTCTTGCACTGGACAAAGGAAGCTAGGGCTGGTCGTGTGCCACAGAGAACACCATGTTTAATTGTTGGGGTCAATTCTTCTTATGGTGCAATATCAGGAGTCTTTTTTTCTCAAGTGCTAAAAACATATTGCTAGATCTCTGTATCTGAATGTACTTGCTGTGTGTAATAATAACAATGTAACTCTTTTCATCAATAGATTTCAATGTCCAAGTTAGTAGAGGCTATAGATCAGTCTGTGCATCAGGTGGAAGTGGTTAGACTAGACAGAGGGTGAGAATCAGACGCGCTGGGGTTCTGTCACTGACTCTGCCATTTGATTTGCTGTAGAACTGTGGGAAAGTCACTTGATCGCTCTATTTCTGTTTTTTCCCCATTTGTAAGATTGGATAATCAGTTTTCATTGGTAGTAACTTTTGGGTCCTGGGGCCATGTCCACACCAAGAACAACACAACTCCCAGGTGTGCATTCTGTGCTGTAATATTCCCATAGCTGTGTGTGTGTGTGTGTGTGTGTGTGTGTAAGATTTGTGTCTTTATTTTATAGGGAATAAAAAAGCCATATAACCCCATTTTGGGAGAGACCTTTCGCTGCTGTTGGTTTCACCCACAGACAAACAGTCACACGTTTTACATCGCGGAACAGGTAAATAACTTTGTTTGCAATCCAGACTTTTGTAAGCACTAGAACTGCTTGAACCGATGGGTGAGCAACAGTGTTTCGTACTCCTTCTCTGAGACTGAGTCTTTTGCACAGGGATATAGAATAGGTTATGGCCATAAACTAGTCTTTTTTTTTCCCCTCTCCAGATTTCCTTAGCTTGCCATTTGCTTCAATGTACACTTTTTAGAGATTTTTCACAGCTAAAATCCTTCTGTGCTGCTTTCTAATATGATGAGTGGAACTGGAAAAAGAACAAGTTGTAACAGGGATCTATCTAGTTTGTGGCACCAGAGGCTCAGGAATGTAAACCAGAGCCAGGCTGCTGCCATTCAAATAATAGAGGCTCAACATGTAACACTGGCCTTTCAGACTGTTTAATAAAGCCTCTTTTCCTGCCTGCCACATCACTCGCTTCTGACTAATGGAATACTATTCAAGTTAGTATGGTTTGCGTCTGCACAGGGTATGAATCACATTGGATCAAATTCTGCATTGATTGACACCAGTCCAGCCCCACTGACATCAGCCAGTGTAAATGGGGGAATTAGCCCCTTATTCTTCATGGATGAAAGAGACGGTATGTGAGGGATTTAGCCCTTCATGACATAGGCTGCCAGGCTGATTTTTTTTTTCTTCCCTTCTTCAAAGCTGCCAAAGGGTTTTGAATCCCCAGTTGAACTGGGCATGTAATTATTTTAATGATGGAGGAAGCTGAGAGTTTCACGGAGCTACCTTTTTTCCTTGTAGGTATCTCATCACCCACCAGTGTCAGCCTTTCACGTCAGTAACAGGAAGGATGGGTTCTGCATTACTGGCAGCATTCTCGCCAAGTCCAAGTTTTATGGTAAGATCTCAAACCTAAACACCCTTAAGGTTACATGCTGGTTTCTTTTGCTTCCTCTGATGGGCTTCTTACTCATGCCAGTGGACGGTGAAGATTAAGAGCAAAGAAAATGCCCAAATAAAGTCCATGTCAGCAGTATAGCCTAAAATGTCATTGGAGCTCCCACTGGATTTTCCAGTTACCTCCTCCAAGCAGGGCAAAATGGACACTTGCTGGGGAAACTGTCATCTACAAAAACAGCAATGCTCTATGGCGTCTCTTGGCAAAAATTCAAATAATTCAATTGTGTTGCCCACACGGAATGATAGGTAGAGGTCTAAATTCTGCTCTCATTTACACACGTGACAAGCCCATTTGTTTAAGTAAGGTTGTACATGTCAGCAAGTACAGAACTTAGCCCACAACACAATTCTTCACAACTCAGATGATTCTTCAAGATGAGATTGGCAGCGAGATCTCAGCTCAGATTTTTCACATCTGCATTTTTCAGATAGAGCTGTAGGACTGTAAGGGTCTGATTTCTCCAGAATTTAAGGTTCTTAGGGATTTGTGGGTGTTCAGTTGTACACCTGCTTTACATGTGCAATTACCACAATTGTATTCACAAATCAGGCCTTTTACATATACCCATTAGTGCACACAAAATACCTGACTTGTGTGCACGTGTAAATACACAACTGCCTCTGATCTCAACTTTCTAAGAATGGGGCCCTAAAGTTCCACAACAGACTCTGCAGATATGAATATGTAAAAGGACACTGCTACTTTGGGGCCTAAAGATAATGTAATTATTTAAACTAGTTTGTCATATGATACAACATCCATCAAGTAGTTTACACTGGCTGGAATTTGTGAGCAGTCACTGCTGTCCTTACAATGTTTATGGCATGCTTGTTCGGAATCATACCTAATTAAAAGAACTTATATAATAAAGGCTTTGGAAAAAATCCACTGAGCTCTAAATGACATAAGAACATAAGAATTGCCTTACCACATCAGACCAACAGTCTGCCAAGTCCAGTTTCCTCTCTCTGGCAGTAGCTAGTACCTGTTGCTTCAAAGGAAGGTGCAAGAATCCCTGTAGTGGAGTATTTTAAAATAACCTACCCACAAGATAGGTTTCTACTCCCATTAATTAGTGGCTGGATTATGCCCTGAATCAATAGGGTTTATTTATTTCATTTAATTAGTTATCCTACATTAAATTGAAGTCTCATTTTTAAGAACTGGAAAATGAGTGAATTAGCTTAGATGTTTGTTTTACAAATATTCACGTATGCTAATCTGTACTCCTATATCTATAGGTAACTCACTTTCTGCATTATTGGATGGGAAAGCCAAGCTTACGTTTCTAAATAGGGGTGAAGACTACATCATTACAATGCCATATGCCCATTGTAAAGGTAGGATGTGAACTGAGTTCAAATATTATGTCTGAAGAAAGCAGGCAGAATAATATTATGGGATCCTAATGACTCTGGGTTCAGTTCTGCAGTAGTTCTGCTCTCTCATGTGACCCACGTGAAGTCAGTGGACACTAAATGCATTGATAGTTACAACAGTCAAGCCCTGTACTGGTGACGGGATTACACAACACTCATTTGTTACAGAGGTATGGCAACTCTCACTGAAGTAATTTGATGTTGCTAAGCATGTCTAAGGGCAGAATTAGTCTGTTGCATGTTTCTATCAACACTATGCAGAAATTAGTAATCCAGAATATGTCATGTGCACTGTGGGTGAGGTGACAATGAACATTTTCTTTTATACTTCCTGGCTTTTGAGTATTTATAACTGAAATTTTGATATTAAAGTACAAAGCTTAAATTAATGCCCTTCTCTGGCTTTTTAAGAAAGACTTGGGGATTTTTATTATTATTATTTATTATTTATTTCACCCTGAATCCACTTTTGTGTAGGTAAATTCCACAGTAAAATAGCAGCCCAAACCCACAATGAGGTTACTATTCAATATTGTATGTAAATAGTATGGACCAAAATCTACTCTGTTTATACTAGTTCAAATATGCAGTAATGCCATTGTAGTCAGTGGAGCTACTGCTGACTCAACATTGTAGCTAAATACAGAATTTGTCCTAATAATGCTAAACTTGATATGTTGGTCTGCATGAGTAAAGCCAATTTTTCAGAAGCTCAGACCACTTTTTCTTTTCTTGGCCTGGAGACTAGCCTTCCTTGAAGATTAACCACCTGGACAACTTCAGCTTTTATAAATTATGCTGTTTTTGAGTTATGCATGCACAAAGTCTTTATCTTTTTACAGCACCAGCAGAAAAAGTACGTATTCCCCCTTCCCTCCACACACATAGTGATGAGCATGCAAAAATATGGAATTCACATTAGCTTAACTTGAGTGGTTTCAGAGGGGTAGCAGTGTTAGTCTGTATCAGTAAAAACAATGAGGAGTCCTTGTGGCACCTTAGAGACTAACACATTTATTTGGGCATAAGCTTTTGTGGGCTAAAACCCACTTCATCAGATGCATGGAGTGGAAAATACAGTAAGCAGGAATAAATATACAGCACATGAAAAGATGGGGGTTGCCTTACCAAGTGGGGGGTCAGTGCTAACGAGGCCAATTCAATTAGGGTGGATGTGGCCCATTCTCAATAGTTGACAAGAAGGGGTGAATATCAACAGAGGGGAAATTATTTTTTGTAGTGACCCAGCCACTCCCTGTCTTTATTCAGGCCTAATTTGATGGTGTTGAGTGTTTGTCTACCAGAAGAGAACGCCCAGAATCCTTTTGTTAAAGTCCTCCCCCTCCTATCCATTGCAACTCACAGGGCTTTTCACAAGAGCTCAGCTCCAGAATAGGCACTGAAATAAGTGGAGCTGCTGGGTGCTGAGCACTTCTGAAACTCTGTCCCCTCTCTGCCTTCAGGATCCTACAGCTAGTATCATCACTTGTGAGTGACTGATCTCTTTCTAAAGATAACATCTTGGAACCCCTCTGCAGGGTTTTGAGAGCATGTGGAGAAGCTGAACAGGAGTGGATGCTTTATGTTTAGGTTACATGGCCAATTTTAAAAAATCCCAGGCCTTTGCTGTAGAATTCATGCCTTTTTGACTAAACATCATTGTGGTGTCCACAATTCAAGAAGGTAAATTGGAGAGAGGGTCCAGAGAAGAGCCATGAGAAAGATTAAAGGATTAGAAAATATACTTTACAGTGCTAAACATAAGGAGCTCCATCTATTTAGCTTAACAAAAAGAAGGGGAAGGGGTGACTTGATTGCTTTGTGTAAGTATCTACATGAGGAACAAATATTTAACAATGGGCTCTTCAATCTAGCAGGGAAAGGTATATCATAATCCAATGGCCGGAAGGTGAAGCTAGACAAATTCAGACTGAAAATAAGGCATATATTTTTTTATGGTGAGAATAATTAACAATTGGAACAATTTACCAAAAGGTTGTGGTGAAATTCTCTATTAGTCACAATTTTACAGTCAGACTTGGATGTTTTTCTAGAAGATCTGCTCTAGGAATTATTCGGGAGAAGTTCTGTGGCCTGTGTTACGGAGGGGTGAGACTAGATAAGCACACGGATCCCTTCTGGCCTTGGAATCTATGAATTTATAAGAATGTCTGAATTTAGAAACCAGCCCATTGCCTCTGCAAACATCACATCCTATTGTTTTGTTTTAGGAATTTTATACGGTACCATGACAATGGAGCTTGGAGGGAAAGTTACTATCGAATGTGAGAAAAGCAGCTACAGGGCAGAGCTGGAGTTCAAGCTCAAGGTAATCGACATAATGCCCTTGATCTGTCTCAGACCCTCCAGTTCTTTCTTATCAGTGCCAGACATCCGGGAATCACACAAAGAATCTTATAATGGGACTTCCCATTAGTGAGGGAGGAGGCATAGCCTTGTGATTTAAGGCACAGGGCCAGCAGTCAGGAGACCTGAGTTTTACATCCAACTCTGTCACTGATTTGCTGTGTGACCTGGGCCAAGTTACTTCTGCACTGCAGCTGGGACTGTGCTTCCCAGCGCAGGTAGGCCGCTCAAGCAGAGCCTGCGCATCTAACATGCGAACCGTAGCAGCAGTATGGGTACTCAGGCAGTGAGCCCGAGCTGCTGCTCTGTGCTGCCGCAGCTACGCGGCTGGTTTTAGCATGTTAGCTCAAGCAGAGCTAGTGTCTGTGTGTCTACCCATGCTGGGAAGCATACTCCCCGCTGAAGTATAGCTGTGCCCTTAGGGCCAGATTTTCAGACCCTGGACTCTATTTTCGTGGGTGCAGTTATTTGTGCTTTCAGTTTAGGTCACCTGTGAAGTCAAAGTTTGTGGCTTTCAGGCAACACTGGGGACTCTTGTAGGCATCCTGATAGAAGTGGGCATTCAGGAAGGATTAAAGGAGAGGGCAGTGGCCTGTCACTTTTCAGAGACACTCAAATTGGTTTTTACAAAGCATCAGTTCATCTCGTATTCTGATGAACAGTCTCTGCCTAGCTGCAAACTAAATACAAAGGAGTAGAGTTGTGATGGCAACAGGCCTCACAAGGTAGGGTAGATCCCTTAGGGCAGAGCTGGTGCATTGTTACAGATTTCCGGTGAATGCTGAATCCTTTACAAATTCTCCCTGCGGGATTCTGCAGGGAAGGACAATGTTTTACTGTTTTCAACTTGTATTGGAAAAGCTACACAGTTCACTATAGCTTCCTCAAATACCTTTTCAGCAGTGGGGCTGCCATTGGGTTTCAAACCAGTGGATTTTGCATCAGGCCCATGAAAAGACTGAAGTTAAGGGAAGTCTTTCCATTGACTTCAGTGGGCTTTGCATCAGGCCCTCTACATATAAAATTGAACTCCAAGTACCTGATATAACTTAATGCTTATGACCCTGAAATGTGTGTAGACCCTGCCTTTACTGGCTTAAAAATTGTCTGTCGTGGCCCAAATCTGGTTTGGGGAGGTCACTGTAGCTTGCATGTCAGATATTTACATATACTATACTATGGCTATTTCTTAGAGCCTTAGCCACATTTGCAATAGACTTGTGAGCAATTAAAGATGTGACTCGTGGCCTTGTTAATTTGGATGCTTGCCTGTTCTCTGGTGGATCACATATGTTTGTTCCTGCCATGCTAATTACCAAAGAATCCTTTTTCGTGGATGATGCAGTAATGAATGTTTTACAGTATAAAATAATCCTGTGCAGCTCCAACTTGCAAACAATGTTGAAAAGCAGCATTTAGAACTGATGAAGAAATATCATTGGGTGGTGGAAATGGAGCAGCTGGTCACTCTATTGCCTTCATTTCCTGTGTTAACCAGGTGCAACGCGAAAAGGAATTTTATATTGTTCTAAGGAATCTCTGGAAATACCCTTTTGCATTACCTACTTAAGCCTTGTCTACACTGAGGATTTGCACCCATTACATTGGTGGCCAGACACTGATATAGTTGCTCTGGTTCAAAACCCTGCTATAAACGGGGAAAACCACTATTTGTATTGCTGCTGTTTACACCTGCTTGAAATGCGGCTTAAGCTGCACTATTACAAACTTAATTCTGGAGGAGTTTACTCTGTCTGTACTAGGAGTTAGCACTGGTGGGTGAAGCTAGATCAGGGTCTAGACACCAATGGATGAAATTGAGGCAAATTCCCAGCATAGACATTGTTGGATGTTAATATATTTGAAAGTCTGTCCCTCTTCCCTTGTGTCTGCTACAGCGACTTCAGTATCAGAGGCAGATAGGATGGGGCACATTGGTAAGGGGTATAAATGCCAGAATTCTTGTCTTTCCTCCCAGTGACACTGGAAATCTGACAAATTTTCAGCTTTGTTCTTATGTACTGTTTGTTTTTTGGCTCTCTTCCAGTTTGTATTTTTTTTTCCTCTCAACAGCCCTTCTTTGGTGGCAGCACAAGCATTAATCAAATCTCTGGGAAGATTAAATCAGGAGAAGAAGTGTTAGCAAGCCTTGATGGACACTGGGTAACACATCTTAATCTGCACTGCTAACATTTAAAAAAAAAAAAAACAACACTCTATGTGGTCGTGGGGAGGGAGAGGATTACAGCTTGAAAACTTTAAGAGCATTTTGTTACTTTCTCATTGTTTGAAATGGAGCCTGGTTCCACACTAACATCTCTGCCTTACCCCACATCATTCGTAGTTAACAGCGGAGGATGGAGTTCAATGGGACATAAAACAGAGGTCCTGACTACCTCTGGTCTTTAAAGCTCTGGTAACCTCATCAGACTTAAGTGCAGGTGACTATAATCTGAGTACCTGCACTTCTAGAAGCCCATTGGCATTAACGGGAGTCTTTCCAATGACTTCAGTGATCTTTGCATCAGCCCAGAGCAGATATTGATGGCAGCAGACAAGAGCTGGCAAATTGCCAGCCCTAAGCTGATCAGGATTCTTGTCTGGCCTCCATTACCAGTGTCTCTGAATGCCTCACAATCTTTAATGCGTTTATCCTCACCACACCCCTCTGACGTAGGGCAGTGCTATTCTCCCCATGTCACAGATGGGGAACTGAGGGACAGAGAGACTGACTTGGCAAAGGTCATGCCATAGTCTGTAGATGAATTGAACCCAGATCTCCAGAGACCTAGGCTAGACCCCAACCTCTGGACCATCCTTCCCCTCAAATGCAATGTTAACCTGTATTTGAAATTTAGTGAGAATGTATTCACTCTTCACCATGGGGCAGGGTGTGTGTATGTTCAATTCCAACTCTAATCACCACTTTGTGCGCCTTTGCAATTTTGAGTAGTGCTGGATTATAGATTACATTGGTCATGCTGTTTTCTGTGAATCAGTTGATTATATTACATAAAACAGTCATGCTGTCCTAGAGTCTAATGCCATCCATTTGCGTGCCGCTCGGCTTCCTGCATTTGTAATTGGGTTTCATCAACCCTGAAACAATTTGTTCCTCCCTTGCCTTTTGCAAGGAACAATTTGCACAATGTGTTATGTAAACTCCATGGCTTCAAGAGAGCAAATCTGTAAGATGCTCTTTGGTTTTGGTGCTGTGTGTGTTGGGGTGGCACAGGGGGAGGAGATGTTGTTGTTCAGGAAATAAGAATATCAGCCTATTCTCTGAACTCTGTCTGCTTTGCTCCAGCATCATGCAAAATCTCTCTCTCTTGTCCATCCACCTCCCATAATTTAAAGGAGCCACTGGTGATTTCATGCTTTGGGAGCACAATCCCCAGGAGACAAGGAGAAGAGCTGGTTCTTGGTCAAGAAGCAAATTCCAAAGCTTCCCTAGACTCTGGGCTATGATGTACACATGGAAGCTGTCAGCACCTGCCACTTGTTATAAGATGTGCACCTGGTTTTTTTTAATGGGCTTGTAAATACAGATTTTATAAACCTGCCATTCAGACTATTAGCACCTGCCTCCTCCAAGCTCCACAGCTGGAGAGTATCTTGGGGATCTGTTATCCTGACTTGGAACCAACTCCTCTGTTCTTCTCCAGCCAGGGGATTGGCTCCCAGACTGAGATCTTGTCTCACCTGAGAAGGGCTGTGGAAGGGATTAAGGTTCTGGAAGGAATCTGCAGGTGGGGAGGAGGCTGGGGGACTTTGTGTGGGATGAAAGAGGAGCTGTAAGTGACAGAAAGTGGCTGGGAGCTTTGCATAAAGTGGGAATGAAGCTGAGCCTAAGAAGCAAGTTATAGGTGTACCAAGGTCCATTGCGTAGGAAGGAAAGCAGCTGGGAGACAGGTGGGTAGACAGTGATGGGTGCAATAACTATCCGTGATCTAAACATGGCATGGACAATACTCACACTATGTTCAGATGGCTGAATGGCATCAACCTTCATGCTGTTCAGCAAATGCGATAATATATAACTCACTCCAGCCTCGTGGATGTCACACTGTTCACTATATGCTGTGTAAATTACCAGTCTGGCTCATTTTGTTTGGGGTGTTGCTTCGTCTGTAGGCAGGCCTACGACTCACTTAGTGAGGCAGAGACTCTAAGACATCACCTGATCAGTCTGTAAGCGGTGGAGCTCTGTTAGTAGTTAGTTGCCAAATAAATTGACAAGCAATGTGGATGAAAGGCTGGTGGTGGCATCTGAAGAACGGAGTCCCCTTTCACATGGTACATTTCCCGTTTCTGTTAACATTGCACTGTGAGGTTTTGTAGTCTCTGCTGTGCAATTTTCCTTTGGTTTCAGCAGTGATGATAGGGAGAAAGGGTTGGTAAAGAAGGAGAGGAGGTTGCCTGATGTTGAGCTTTGGTTCCTGTATTTGTGTTCAGATACTAAACTGAGGGGGGCCCTGTTAGCACCTATATAAATGGTCTCGTGGGGATGAACATGTGGTCAGCAGGGATGAATGTGGTTCATTCTCTTTTGCCCTCTGATGAACTTGGCCAGTGTTTCTTATTTTCAGTAAACTCCCAGCTCCAATTGGATAGTTTTCAGAAAACATTTAGTGAACCTGTCTGGAGGGAGGGTACTGACCTTCGAACTAAGTGCCACTCCCCAGCCTGGCACCAACCTTCTGCCAGTGTTCCTCAGGATTATTTGCCTGTGTGTTCCTGCAGTCACTAAACCTTGCCTTTCATTTTCCCTCTCAGGATGGGGAAGTGTATATAAATGACCTGAAAAATGGGAACACTGAAATATTCTGGAACCCAACCAGTGAGGTGCGGCGGCAAAGACTGAAACGCCACATTGTGCTATTTGAAGAGCAAACAGACTCTGAATCAGAGAGGTGGGTAGGTTGCTGGAAACCAGCCTGCTGAGCTTCCCGCTGGTCTTCATACAGTTGGAACTAAATACGAGGGTCCTGAGACTCCAGCAAGATGCTGGAAGGATTATGGCCTTGCTTAACCTGTGCATATTTCCCTGCTGTATGTTGTTTTTTGTTCCTTGTGTATTAGCAATGATGTAATATTTCCAAGGAGTATTAATGATAGCATGACCAAGTCCTAGGTTTCAGAAATGGTAGAGGCCACTCTTTTTTGTCAAGTAAAATAAGATCATTTTTCAGGACTCCAGAGACCATGAAAAGAAATCTCTGTTATAACCTGAACTGAATACCAGGGGATATGATAGATTCTTCACCTGGAGTTCTTTAAGTCAAGTTTGGATATCTTTTTTAAAAGAAGTTCTCTGCTTCAATCATAAATTGTTAGACTAGAGACAGGAATCGCTGTCCTCCTGCATAACACAGGCCATAGAATTTTACACAGACTGCTTGATCACAATGGCCCCTTCTGGCTTCGAAAATCTAAGAGACTTTAGATGTGTAAGCCCCAAAATCATCAATTGACCTCCACCAATGCAGACACCATTTTTACATATAAAACCCAGCATTTAACACGCTGATCAGGAAACTGCCTACCTGAATTACACACGCAAATATACCTCTGCATACATAAATGCAGGGGCAGCGTGGAAATGAATTCCCCTGCACACTTTGCAGGCACGTCAGGAAATGCCATCTGAACTTCTAGGCCTCCATTGCAATGGAATAGCTGTGAAATGAAAGTACTGTACCAATAAGGTCCACATGCAGTGCTCTAAATACCGAATGAATAAAGCTGACTTCAAAAGAACATAGACTGTTTAAAAAAATCATTGTGAAAGATAATTCGCCTGCGCCCCAAAACAAAGAAAATCTCTCCAAATTTGGGGCAAATAGTTTGTAGTTTTTATTTACCAGGGTATCACCAAAGCTGCCTAGCTGGCTGACCCCCTTCAGCATGCCAAAGTCTAATATGTGCAACCTGTTGTATTTGGGGGGCAGAGGGAAATGGCTGTTATGGTGGTTGCTGTGTGAATGAATTGCAGTCTAATACTGAATCAGCTATTCATCTCACAGCCCTGAATATCACCTGCCCATGGGTAAGCTTTGCAGTCTGTGACGCGTATGCTGTTGTGCAGCAGAGCATGGAAAGCCTCAGATTGTATAGAATCTGCAGCTCTCTGAGGGGATGGAGAAAACTGGCCTTGTCACAAAATTTGTTTTTCCTGCTGCTTCTGAGCCTCAGAATAAAGGCTTGAAGACCCAGATTTTTAAAGCTGTTTAGATGCTGCCATGACAGTCAACTCCCAGGAGCCTAAATCTCTTCCTAAAATGAAGTCAGGCAATGCTGAGCACACTGGTGCCTAAACAGCTTTAAAAATCTGGGCCTAACTCTTCACTACATTGATGTGTGGTGCAGTTATACCAGTAATATACTAGTATAACAGAGTGGAGACCAGGGTCCAAAAACTAATTTTTGCAAGATATCAAGAGGCTAAGACTATTGGACACAGGCTCACACCTATTACTATTCATATTATAGTGGTGCCTAGAGGCCCCATTGTCCTGTACAACTGCACTATACAAATGCAGAGTGTGAGAGAGTCTCTGCACCAAAGGTGCACAGAGGTGAACTGATTTGCCCAAGGTTGCACAGCAGGTTAGTGGCCAAACCAGGAATGGAACCCTGGTCTTCTAGCTCGCAGGACAGTACTGTACCCACTAGACTCCACTGCCTTCCTTTGCCTGCACTGTTATCTACAGTGACTGCAATAGGCTCCCTAACAAAAAAACAAGGTAGAGGGTACCGCGGTTCACCTCTCCACTGATGTGATTCCCTGCTCTTTTGTGCTCTTTGCTTCTTATTGCTATCTCTTTGTCTGGTTCAGATCTAACCCTGGAAGTACTTCTCTCTGAGGTCTGAAGAATGGGCAGTTTTCCCTGTAAAAGGTTCTAAAAAGCTGGAGGCCATTTCCTTTTCTCACAGACTTATTGGAACAAGGGTAATGGTGTCATTGTTCTAAAAATGCCATCTTCCCATCTCAGCTGCTGGGAGTCCTAGGATACAGGGAGGCTTTGATCTGTAACTCAGCAAGAGCAATGCACCTTGTGCTTCTAGTTTTTCTAAGGAACACGTATATGTTCACTGGAAAACTTGCTATGCAAATCTTCTGTACAAATGAGCAGACCACCCCAGCACCTCTTTTTGGCCAGTGTCAAACAGAAATCTAGAACGCAGAGGGTGAAACCAAGGGCTGAGTTGCTACTGGCAGACAGAATGGTCCCATGGATGAAACACTAGGTTGGGACATTGGAGTCCTGGATTCATTTCCTGGCTCTGCTACTGACCTGCTGGGTGACTTTGGGCAGGTCACTTCCCCTCTCTGTGCCTCCAGCCCTTTGTCTTGTCTATGTAGATTAGGAGCTCTGTGGGGCAGGTAGTGTCTCTTCCTAAATGTTATGTACAGCACTTAGCTCACTGAGGACCCAAACAAAGCCACTGATCCACCAAAACCTTGAGGACCTCTGAGAGTGTTTGTTCTCAGATTAGCTAATCTGGTGCAAACCCATCAATCCCCTAGGTAGGCCCTTGTAGTTGAGCTGCTTCTAGCAGACAGACAACTGGCAGTTTTCAGCTGTGTGCTGCTCTGTCTCTGCTGAATCCTGGGTGCTCTAATCATAGGATTCAGATTCCAAGAGTTCTGCCGTATGTTCCCCATCCTGTCCACAGAATACTAAATATGCTCACATCTTCCTCATGATTGCCTGAAAGCCCTACTTGCTCTCAGTTCAGCACATGAACTGCACATCAAGGAGCAAATAAAAAAGCTAACACTCTGCACATCTGTCTAGTCTAGGTGTTTGGAATATGCCATCACCTGTGTACCTGAGGACAGTTCTAGAACACAGATGCCGTATCATTTGAGGGTCTTGGGGTGCTTTACAAACATAAATTAAAGAACACCCTCAGTTTAAAATAGACTCATCTCAGATAATGAGGCCATTTCTATACTAGAAAGTTTGGTGACGGAACTTTTGCTATCTTACAGCTGCCACCGTTGCTAAAATGATGGAGCACTTGCACACTTGGCTGCTTTTGCTGGTGTTGCATGTCCTCGTGGCAAGAGCTTGTGTTGACAAAAACCACACAGAACAATGGGTAGCTTCGGATATTGCACCTGCCCTGGAAGTCTCTAGGCCAATTATTGTGCTTGTAGAATCACTTTCCTGCATGTGTGTAGGTTTTTTAAAAAACAAAAACAAAAACTTTCTCTCCCCTGTTGCTATGTGAAAGACCCACATAGAGAGGAAACAGTAAAAATCTAATCACTAGATTATTCCCTGCTGTTTTTGGATGGCCATCCATCTCACCAGTGTTTCAAGTCTTATTCAGCCCTTTACTAATGTTTGTTTAAAGCTTAGAGTGCAACAGAATTATTTATTAGATTCCAGTGGAAAGGGAGGTACAATTTGACTTGTGTTTCCAAGGTGAAGGAAATAATATGGGGGTGGGGGGAGTGTCAATAAAATATCAAGGGCCTAATCTTACAAGTTAGAAGCCTTCTGCACAGGAAAATATATGCATGCAATTGGACGCCTACATTTGTGCCTTCAGTTTATGGTGTTTGCAAGTGCAAATCCGCAAATTACATATTTAATTGGTTATTTAGACCATCTAAATAGACATTTTCATGTGCAAATATCCAATTTGCATATACAGCTGCAGTCCTTTCATGTGCATTTTTTCCCACATAAACTCCTAGAATTTAGCCCTGGTTGCAAGGCAACTCTGACTCAAATCTCTGTCTCCTAGACTTAAATAGTTAAAAGGGCCAGTTCAACAAAAGGTTTTCCTTTTTACTATGGTCACCTTTTAAACTTACCGTTGGCCTCAGACAACTACGCACTACTGCCTTACTATCTTTAGTGTTCAGGTGGCCAGTTCTTAAGGTGGTCTTTATATGCTGTATTCATTTTCATCCTCCTGATAAAAGTCCATTTTAAGCCAAAGCTCAGGCTGACTAAACCTATTATTATTCTCCTAGTGCCTCTCAGTGGACTAGACAAACATTTTTTTAAGGCTCCAGCTATCTGGGTGTGTTGCTGGTTTTGAGGCCGTTGTATTTGATTCCCTGTTTATTTCTAGACTCTGGCAGCATGTAACAAGTGCAATAAACAAAGGAGATCAACACAAGGCAACTCAGGAGAAATTTATATTGGAAGAAGAGCAGAGGAACGCTTCGCGGGAGCGGAAGGAGAATGGCACGGAGTGGAAGCCACTGCTCTTCCGACACGATGCTGCTACCAACGAATGGCACTACAAATATGAAGAGTGAGTGACTCGAAGCATGTATAGTTATAAGTGTGGCTATAATGAGTTAAGTGCAGACATTGCTTCTTGGGCTCCAGTCAGAAATACAAAGTGCTACATGCATACGGCATACACTGGCCTGCTGCACTTCCATCTGATGCTTGGGAACACTGGTCTTGCTCTTGACCAGATTGCACCTTGATCAGGCAACCTTCCTCCTGAATTCTCCCCAGTGAGTACTTGAACATGCAGTCCTTTCAAATGAAAGGAGTAGACAGATCAGTGGAATATCTCCTGTGTATTGGTACAAATAGAGGACAGATCTGTAGTGATGAGAAGGTGTGTTACCAGCTGCAGGAGGTTTAGCAGTCTGTGTGATCTGAGTTGTCAGTCTCAGCTCAATTTGCTGAAGACGCATCCGTATTGCAAAACCTCCACCGCAGTTGGTTCTCCATAAGCACCCTTGTTAGCAGCCTTGGCAAAGAAAAGAAACCAAGGACTTGGAGAACCTGAAGACTTCCCTGCCTTCCTACTCTAGGTTTGTTACCTCTCTGTCTCGCTTGGGGCTGAGGCACCCAGATGGGCTAGGATGGAAGCAACTTATGTTCATAAATGCCTAATTGCCCCCACCCCAGTTCTGTGGGTACACCCATTAAGCCCACGGCTAAATATTTGCTCCTGTGTGTTTGGAATTCATGCATTGCTTTTAATAAACCTGCTGCGGTTCTGTTTTTTAATACTTTCGTTTTGCTTCCAAAGTTTAAGACCCTGGGACCCTCTAAATGACATTGCCCAGTTTGAGAAAGATGGGATACTTCAAACCATGGAGAGGCACCTATCCACAAGGATGTTGTCCCACAAAACCATGTGTATAAACAACCAAGTTATACGACACAAGGTAACCATCACTCAGCCAGAAAGCCCCTCTCTGGGAAGTTTTTTTCTTCTTTGCATCTTTCTTCATATACCTGTATTTCTTTGATCAAGTGCTCAGCTCTGATTTTTTCATGTTTTCTTAGACACCACAAAATCCAAGGGCTGCCTCTGCCATTAGAGGCTTGTTTCTCTAGCTGTACTTTGCCTCTGATATTTTCCTGGTGCTAATCTGCTAATATTTTTTTGGTAAGAGGCTGGCTGGGTGAGTTCCTGTTTGAAGGATCATTGTAATTGTGCTGGGATTTGTTGTAATACTAATTACATGCTAGAACACCTAGAGCTTGGTATAGGCAACACTTCTTATTTACATCTAAAATAAAATCGGAATCCTTGATTAATTGACACTGTGCGATTTGTAATAGATATCTTCCCTGCTATAATTTTACAAACTTTTATTATTTTCTTATGTTGGGTGGTGAATGGGGTTGAACTGAACTTTACTGTTCAATACTTACAAAGCACTTCTTTAGGCTGGATGTGATCTAGGGGTCTGAGCAGAGGAGGGAGGCCCTGGAACTCAAATTCTAATCCTGACTCTGTCACTTCCTTCCTTCTGGACAAGCCTGGCAATCTCTGTCTATCCACTTTCCCCATTTGTAAAAGGGAACAATATCTACGTCCCTGCTTTGTTCTTGTTAGTTATTTATGGTTTGTAAAGTGCTTCTGAAATGTGGAGAGCTATATAGAAGTGCTAAATATGAGTTAGATATAGCCCATACCAAAATCCTGAACCTGGATCTTGATACATGGCTCACGCCTTTTTATAATGGCCTGCACACCTCTGAAATTTGGGGAAGTTTAGGTTTGGATTGGGATTTCAAACTCCGTGTTCCCTGGTGTTTGGCTATATAGCTTTGGTTCTCCCGTTCTAGAGAGATGGGGTAGAACTTTCGAAAGCATGTGGGAAATGAGAACACAAGTACCTGTGACTCCTAATGGACTTGGCTCCTAAAATCTCTTTGGTGCCTTTGAAAATCTCCCTCATGAGATTTGGATCCAGATCTGGGCTATTGGTCTGGGCCCATCCCTGTTGTACACTAGTGGCATAATTTAGAGCCAGCAAGAGAACCATAAAATCCAGCAGGCCAAATTCATCCCTGGTAAAAGCCTGTTGAAGTTACACCAGGGGATGAATTTGGCCTGCTGGATTTTGTGGTTACTGAAAAATCTTAGCTTTTGGGAATTTTTTTTTTTTGGGGGGGGGGGGGGGGAGGGTGTGTGTGTGTGTGTCTCTCTCTCTCTCTAAACTAGATATTTCAGATCTGATCCTGAGAGGTTCTGAGCAAGTGTTCAGTCCCCCTCATGATCAAACTCCTAGATTCCAGAGAATGTTCCCTACCAGACGGGATAACACTTAGTCAAATTGTTGTCAAATTTTTGACAGTGTTCCTTTTAATCATGCCCATTGATTTAGAGATCTGCGAAAGAATGCAGGCGTCGTAAAACCAGTGACCAACCATCCAATCACAGCCAGAACACTGAGAGCAGCTGTTCAACACCAGAGTCTGTGCAGGAACTGTCAGACGATGATGGCAAGTACTTGGCAAACGTTGGGCCAGATTTTAATACCTTTGCTCAAATTTAGCACCTTATTCCTTTGAGGAGCTAAGGTACTTCCCAGTCTCCTTACTGGTGTCCGAATCTGGCCCATTGACTTCCTTTGACGTTGTTTTACTGATTGTTGTATTAGAAATACGTCTCACTCACTATTTCTGTGTTCTGTCCGTTCCTTCCTTCCTTCCTAGTAGTAACACACATGTCAGTGACAGGCTATTGTGCCTCTGAGGGCTTCCCGAGGGCTGACTTAGCAATATCAATCACTTCTGTGGCATGAAACATTGTAGAGAAATGTGCACTGCGACCACTCAGTGCCACTAGATTTAGGAAGAGAGCAGGCCTACTTTTCCACTACTCTTCTCCTCCCCCCTCCCCCCCCGTTAAGTTTTGTTGAAGGGGCTAGCCCTTGAAGATGAAGAGAGCGGGGGAGGGGGTTTGCAAACCACTATATAATTGCGCTCACCCTACAAAGGAGGAAGCTAGGGATATTTGGTGGTCAGGGGTTCTGTGCGCTGAGGGGGTACTACCAGTCTGACTTCATATCAGCCTCACTCTGGGGCTTGGTTTTCATGATGAAAATTCCATTCTGCATTAAGTTCCATGTTAGTGGTGTCCTTTATCTGAAGTACTTCACTGGATACAGCTGCTCACTTGCTGGGGGATTTTGTGGCATGTGTCACAGGTCTCCCAATCACCAGAGATGTGTGGTAAATCTGTTTGTCCCTTCAATGGTTTGCCACAGGTTTTGAAAGTCCATGTACTCGGTGCGGAAAGGAAATGAATCACCTGAAGGAAATCCACATGACTGTCTTATCCCTACAGAAAGCCCAGCAGGACATACACAGGTAGCGATTTGCATTTGTTAGCACCATGATCTCAGTAGGACCAAAATAACCTTTGGTGTTTAACTCCTCTGAGCCAGCCTCTGGAGTCTGGTTAAATCAGAGGGGTGCAGTTTCAAGGTATAACAATAAGTATCCTATTAAAATCCAGAAAAGGCTTAGTAAGCCTTCACATAAAACACGGAGAGGATCTTCTCTTAGCCCCATCTGGGAGCATTACAGATCTTCCAGCTCTTAAACCTACTGCATAGATGCAGACATCTGGGGAGCTCACCAGAGTACTGGCTAGAAGTGTGATTGCTAGCTGGCCATAGAAGGCCCTATTCGTCAAGGAACCCAACATGCCTACATTTGACTTGCAACCCCAGGTAGGAAGGGAGCTGCACAGAGATCTCACTGCACTGCTTTCACTATTTCTCCTCTGACAGCCTCAGTCATTGCAGGAGAAACAGAGGCCTGAGGGCCTGTAATTGGGTATTGACAGATTCAGTTCATGCTTTCAATAAGGTCTCTGTTTAATACCATGTCTGAGAGATTGGTGATCACACCTGGTTACTTCACTGGCAAACTGGAGCTACACCTTCTGAAATGGTCATGTTTTCAGCAGGGGTCCATTATGGCTTTTATACTCTGACTTGCCTCGGGGTCAGGGTGCTGCCACCCCATCCCTGCAGGAGTATAAGGAAATGGAGCTCCCAGGCATGCAGGGGGAAACATGGCTGCTGCTACATACCATATAGGGGGCTGCATTCATTCTCCTGTGCACCATGGGTTGATCTTGGGTCCAATAAAGTCCATTGGAAAGTTCCCATTGACTTCACTGGGGCAGGAATAGGAGCCAGGTCAGCAGAGTCTCCGGGTGCATAAGTGGGTGGAGTCCTAGGTGCTGACTCTGTGGGTGCTCCGGGGCTGGAGCTGCTCAGCACCCACCGGTCGCCTCATGGATCAGCGCCTCCTCCCCCACAGCACCTCCTGCCTGCTGCGATCAGCTGTTCAGCAGAAGTGTTCAGGAGGTGTTGAGGGAGGGGAGGAGTGGGGGCAGGAAGAGGTGGGGGTAGGGGGTGGAATGGGGAAAGGGCTGGGGTGGGAGCTTGGAGGAAGGGGTGGAGTAAGGGCGGGGCCCGGGGCGGAGCGGGGGTCAAGCACCACCTGGGAACTGGGGAAGTCGGTGCCTCTGGGTGGGGCCATAGGCTTACTGTCTCATTCCCATGTTTGGGGTGGCTGGTGCCCATTGACATGCTGGCAGGGAGCCAGTCCCTGCATTCACGGGAGGCCAAGGAATGGGATTGTCTGGCTGTGGGTGGAGGGGATGCAAGAATGAGGAGATGTCTTGTGCCCTCCTTCCCTTCTCAGCCTCATGCCATCTGGCTTTGAAGGCTGATTCTGTCCATCAGAATGGTTCCAAAAAGTACTGCTCAGAGGAGGAGTGTGAGGGTTAGTGACCATTCAGACACCCTTTGGGAAGCTAATTCTATTTTAGGCTGTTTGACAAGACTAGTAAAGATTTTTCCAATGGCAGTACTCCTCCTGATGACTTTGGAAAGCTAATGAGTTTGTTTAGGCTTGAATAAAGTGCAGCAGATTATGTTGTTTCAGTAGACAAGGCCAAGAAACCTATTCTTCCCTCGAGTTACTAAATCTTGGCAAGTACCCAGAATTTAGGTTTTTGTTAGTCTCTAAGGTGCCACAAGTACCCAGAATTTAGTGTCTTAGAATGAGTTGGCAATTCCTGAATTTTGCACTGCACTCTGGCCTTTGCTGCCTTTCTCACTCCTAGTGCTAGATTTTCAAGGAACCTGGCCCCAGTTGGGGGTACTGAGCCTCACAAGTGCTTGGCACCCGGCGGTCCCCATTGTGAGAGGGCCAGATTCCCTGAACAGCCCATGCTGAGATCGCTGGAAAACCCAGCCATTTATTTTGGTGCCTGAGCTCGACCTGGGCTGTTCCACAATGAGGGCCAGATTTTCCAGGTGGTGAGCCCTTCTGAAAATTCTGTTCCTACTGTTTCTGTTGCATGGGAATCAACCCTTTTTTTAGAATAATTGTTGGTATTATAGTAGCACCATGAGACCCTAACTGACATCGGGGCTCCATTGTGCTGGGTTCTGTGCATGCACATAGGGAGACAACCCCTGTCCCAAAGAGCTGATGGTCTATATAGAAAAGATAGACAAAGGATAGGAGAAAGGACATATTAATATTATTCCTTTGTTAAAAGAGAAAAGCACGTGGGCCCAATCCTGTACTCGTCAAACAGGCTTGTAAATTTAAGCCATGGGGAGTCTTGCCTATGTAGGATCTCCAGTACTGGGAACTGTAGCTGAGTGTTCATGTGTGTCCAGGGCGGACAGGGGCAGGGAAGAATATCTGTAAAATTCTTTCCTACATGCAAATGGCATCCGATGAAGTGAGCTGTAGCTCACGAAAGCTTATGCTCAAATAAATTGGTTAGTCTCTAAGGTGCCACAAGTACTCCTTTTCTTTTTATTATTTGTTGTTTCAGAAACCTCACTGCTCTGAACAAAAAATCTTTCTACAGTAAAGCCTCTTCCGAAAACCTCCTCCTGGACTCTCGCTGCTGGTTTCTCATTTGCGTCTTTCTTACATGTCAATTGTTCATTAATTATGTCTTCAAATAAAAGCACTACGTATGGCAGCAATAAAAGTTACTGGCTGCAGGAGGGGGACACTCGCGCAAGGAGCCCATCGAGGCACCAAGCACTTTAAAACCAACGCAGCAGAGATGGAAGAAAGAGCCAGGCTAAAAGGGGACCCAGGGAACCAACAGAGTTTAGTTCCTTCAGATTGTCATTTGCCTTTTTACATGTACATCTTCAAGGACCTCTTTACCTGTACGGGCCTTAATGCTAAAGCCAAATGTAGCTTTAATTGTGCAATTTGTTTTCTATGTCTTGTCATTTTCTGATGCAATCCATAATTACCAAGCAGTATTGGTGCCCCAATAATGGCAAACATCCACATGGTTTTAGAATGGTTCCATTGCTTTGTTTTATAGCTCTAAGGGTTGGGGGAGGTGGGAAGGGTTCTTATTGTCCATTTTCAAGATGTCTGTTGGGTACATTCAGTTATGGGAGGGGAACATCAGACGGTCCAAAAATCCAACCACTTGGTTATTGGTCATGGTTTCTCCTGGATCTTGCTGTTGACACACACACAGTTGGACTTGAAAATGTGCATGACACTCCACTGCACAGAGATTGTAAATATGCACGATTTCCTAAAGTTGCCACCTTTAGGAAATGGGAATCATTCAGTAAAGCTCCTCATTCTGTTACAGAGCCGATAATGTCCTGAACTAGACCCACTGAATCAAATGTCAGACATATTTGTTTATAAATCCTGGTCACTTTTTTTTTGGCTATATGGCTGTTTTTATATTATAATAACACAAGAATTGTACAGAATTCCTCTGAAATTTCCCATTGCCCCCTTGGAGAGGGAGCAAGTATGTGTGTTCGATCGTAGGCACATCTATTATTAAAGGTCAGGAAGGGTAAGGGTTTTGCCACTGCGTTGTTAACTCTGTTAACAGTCTTCCTATTTTACACCATTTTTTAAAAGATTTGCAATATTCTTTGTAGATTGCAGTCAGTACTAAGCCTTTATTTTCTGGCCTGAAGTAGTTCCAAGTGGTAAGTACTGCTATATATACAGCCTTAAAATACTTAGTGATGGTGCCAGACTGGCAAACTTTAAATGTAAATGTTTCCAAATTTTTAACTACATTCCTTGTCATGTTCCCCAGTTAGGGGAAACCTGTTTGTGCTTGATATGTTGAAATAAAATTACACCGAACTTTCAATGACAATTTCTTTGATAGATTATTTGTGTTTGGGATTTTTCTCATTTTGTAGCAGTTATGCCGTGCTTTCCTAATAGATAGTATACAGTAATAGATGTACAGTTGGCTACCGTATGTACACAGAAGAGAGAAGCATTCCATGCGAAGTTCTGAGTGACACAATGAGTTGTCTTCTTCCCTGAAGGAGGAGCAACAGCTCATGGATGGGGTTCATGGAAATGCTTGGCAGATGCTCTCTATCTTGCATGGAATGGGAATAGCAAAATTCTATGATCTGACATTTGTCTGACTCTCAAATTAGGCCATGCTTTTCAAATGCAACAGGTGATTTTTGGATGTCTGTCTTGCTGAAACACCTTAAAGATCCACGGTAGTTAGCACCTTCTTGAAAAATGCCTTCATAGGGAAAAAATACGATGAAGTGAGCTGTAGCTCACAAAAGCTTATGCTCAAATAAATTTGTTAGTCTCCAAGGTGCCACAAGTACTCCTTTTCTTTTTGCGAATACAGACTGACACGGCCGCTACTCTGAAACCTGGTACTAAAGGGCTCTTTCATCTAGCAGAGAAAGGCATACCAAGAACCAATGGCTGGAAGCTGAAGTCAGACAAATTCATATTAGAAATTATACACAAATTCTAAGTGATTAACGTTATGAATAAATTACTAAGGGAAGTGGTGGACTCTCAATCTCTTCGGGTCTTTAAATCAAGACTAGAGCCTTTCTGGAGGGTATGCTTTAGCCAAACACAAGTTATTGGGTTCAATACAGGGGGTAACTGAAATTCTATGGCTTGTGACATACAAGAGGTCAGACTAGTTGATGAGAATGATCCCTTCTTGCCTTAATATCCATGAGGGGGGCCAGCTTTCAGAGGGCAGGAACTCGGCACTTTCTAAAAATCAAGCATCTCTAAGGCCTTCTCTACACTGCCACTTTGCAGAGCTGCAACTTTCTCACTCAGGGGTGTGAAAACACCCCCCTGAGCACTACAAGTTTCAGCACTGTAACGTGCCAGGGTAGACAGTGCATGAGTGCTGGAAGCCGCTCTCCCAGCGCTGGTAGCTACTCCGCCCGCGCTCTGCCGTGACTACACAGCAGCACTTTAACGTTGCTAGTGAAGACGTACCCTAAATGTTTCAGTCTGGACGCCCAAGGTCACTAATCACTCTTGAAAATCTTGGCCTACCTGCTTCACAAACAAGTGTAGTTCCAGCGTCCACTTTCTAACGAGTGTTCATTCCAAACAACCTACCTCCAAGCTCTTCATTTTCAGCAGCAGGCACTTGTCTGGTCTCTCCCGTCTGTCAATGCTGTCTGTGCCCTTTTCTTATGTTTTCATATTTTTGTGTTTATCTCCTTTCCAGACCTTGCATTAGACTAGCTAAGAATGTGCTGATAGAAACCTGTTCTCTTTTGCAGGAGTGTTATGTCTTCAGGACAGGATTATGACATACATTTTGGAAAAGAATGTCAAGAACAGTCTGACTCAAAGGGCAGGGGTGCTGATTGGGAAGCCACTAGCAGGTGCTGAGTAAGCAAATGCTTGAAGTTGTTGGAACTCTTCCACTTTAAGAAACAATATGCACCCTCAAGGAATTCCATTAGAACCTATTATTTATTTTTATTAGTCCTATTAGCAGTAATATAAAGAATTTTACAAAGAGATTTGCAATGCAGCCAATGAAATGTTACCTACATACCCCAATTTCACATCAGCAGTGGTACGCGGTGGAAGTCTCCAAAATCTATCACTGTTTCCCCACATGGGATCAAAATTATTCCAGTGTAAAAAAAACAAACCCATACATTCTTCTAAAACAGCAGATGGATTATAATCAACAAGCAATTGCTGTAGATGGAAATCAGAAAGGGAACATTCAAGCGGGCATGGGAGATGAGCCATTTTTAGTGTATAGCATAGATGGAAAATACTTCTTATGGTCATCTGTGAGCATCTAGCGCAGGTCCTTAGAAGGTAAAAGTACAAGGCCCTTCCATGCAAACTAGAAGAGACACACCTTTAAATCTCAGGATTTTACTATTTCTGGGGCTAGCCAGTGTAGGCAGACATGATCAGAGTAAAGCCATGGCATTATATTGCACTACTTATTCCACCTTCACAGAGGATAATCCCTCGCATTAAATGACAAAATGGACACAGTTGAAACAATGCCTTGCCTACCATTTTTCCTGTGCTTCACAATTGCTTGATATGTCCATAGGAATTGCTTAAACTGAAAAGTACTATTGGGGAATTTTAGTGTGCTTTTATCTTCTCATGCAGTTTAGAAGTGGGAAGCAGCTCGTCGCCCATCCATAATAAAAGTTTTGCAGTACAAATCCTACTATCAATAACTGCTGTGAAGTCCCCTTGTTTTCAAGTGCAATGTACAAGTGCAACTGCTTGGCATTTAATACACAATTCTGAGATTAATGTGCAAAAAGGACTAAAAGAATACAGCTCACTGTCCTCTTGTGGGTTGGCTCTGCATAAGAGTTTGCAAGATTTGTGGCTTTAAGGCCTGAGCCATTTCCCATTAAATTTAATGGGAGTTGCATTAGGCCTTTAATTTGTAAAGAGGAGATTAAAAGTGTATAAAGAGGAGGAGAAAGGTGGTCTAATGTTTAGGGCACTAATCTAGGATTTAGGAAACTGGTGTTCCAAGTCCCTGCTCTGCCACAAGTGTTTGAATTGTTTGAATGATTTTAGGTAAGTCACTTAACCTCTTTCCTCCCTTCCAGTTGTAAAAATGGGGAATTGTGAGGTGCTCCAATACTCCAGCAATGGGAGCCATATAAGTACCTTAGACAACTGGTCATATTGAGTCCTATACTCTAATGACCCTGTTTTGTGGGTGGTCAGAACAAGAAGCAATGGTCTCAAGTTGCCGTGCGGGAGGTCTAGGTTGGGTATTGGGAAACACTATTTCACTAGGAGGGGGTGAAGCACTGGAATGGGTTATCTAGGGAGGTGGTGGAATCTCCATCCTTAGAGGTTTTTAAGGCCCGGCTTGACAAAGCTTTGGCTGGGATGATTTAGTTGGTGTTGGTCCTGCTTTGGGCAGGAGGTTGGACTAGATGACCTCCTGAGGTCTCTTCCAACCCTAATATTCTATGATAGGCCTCTCCCACAGACATCACAGTTGCATGAGCCATAGCAAGGTAATGTGAGATCAATATATCTTTGCCTCTCAGGTTTGGTACTTGCTATCTGACAAAAGTAGCTACTATTTAGTATCTGGTGAATTTTTTTTTAAGTGAATATGCTCTGACCTTAAAGGTCAGGGGTCAAATTCACTGCAGCTATAAGCAGCTGTAACCCTGGATTTGGGGCATTTTTTCTGCATCGTGAAAAGTTCTCAGCAACAATGCTGTGACTTAATTTCTGGACACATCTACACTAGGGAAAAGTAGGCATGTTCATTTCAACCAGCTACCCTAAAGTGAAACTAAAATGTGTCCTATCTTCTTTTAACACTTTTTCTTTTCTTTTCCCTAAGTGTGGACATGGCATTGGTGGCCCAGTTAACCCAACTGCAGCATGCTTCTTACACTATCATTGTTTTGAATCAGGGACTGCATCTGTCTACACCTGCATTCAGCATGTAGCATGATGGTGCCCCTATTCTTAATAGGGTTGTGGGCTTATCCATAGTTATGAGCAGTGACACAAGCCCATAGGCTTCATTAAAGGCAGTGTATAATTCAGTATATAACACCCTCCTCATTTGGGCTGTTTTCTCAGCAGAAAGGCTAGCTCATGGGTCTGTTTAAGAAAGAAGGATTTCTGATGTTTGAAAAAAAAAATGCTCCCTGCACCGTGTGTTCTTGGGCTAGCAGTAGCCCCAGGTGCCGTTTTTACCCCAGGAATTCATCATATTAGCCAGGATACTTATAATGGAAAAAGGGAAGGCAATTTTAAGTTAAGACCCTCCGCTCAGGGAGTGGGAGGGGGGCTGTCTATAAATTAAGGAAAGCAGGGAGGGGCGAGTGGATCCTTAATTTTGCCTGTTTGATGCAGTTACAAGGGGGGCGCCAAAGAAAATCAGTCAGAACTGTGTTCCCTTATTTATGCAGAGAAAAGCAGGGGTGGAAGCCGGGGCCCCTGGTGCTCGCGGCGGGAGCCGGGGAAGGGGAGCGGGACAGGCTCCCTCCAGCGCCCTGGCTCAGCGCCCTTCCGGCGGGGTGGTTCTAGGGTGACTAATGACATCAGGGGCAGCAGCCGGAGAGGCGCAGGCTCCGCCCAGGACGTGAGAGCCGGGTCCTGTGGTTCCGGGCCCCGCGAGCCGCTCCCCGGGACGCGCCATGGGAGCCGGGAGCTTCTTGCTGCTCCTGCTGCTGGGGGTGAGTGCGGGGGGGGCAGCGGGCCGTGCTGATCGCCGGGCACCGGAGCACTGCAGGGGGGCTGCCCGCGCCCCTGCAAGCAGCAGCCGGGGAACGCCCAGCCCCGCCCGCCGGCTGCCCGCGCCCTGCCTCGGCCCACGGTCGGGCTGGCTGAACTCCCGGCATCGTTCCCTCCGCCTGCCTGCGGGCTCCGGGCGCGTCTCTGGGCGCCGGGGGCGCGACACCGCTTGGGGGGCGGAAAAGGGTTTGGGGGAGGGGGAAGCGGAATCCGCTGCGGCCAGGTGTTTCCCGGCAGCCGGTGCAATCTCTCCTGCGTTTGGGGGACGGGAGTGTGTGTGTGTGTGGGGGGGCAGATGGGTCTCTCTGGCTTTAAGAAAAACTTTTCAAACAACAGACATTAACCCCCTGAAATGCGGATCTGAGCCGTAAGGAGGGTGGCCAATTTTGGTTGGACCTCTTCCCCGAGGTTTCATCACATGACCTAATCTGTAACTAAAGATGAATCATTAATTTCTGGAGATTCCAGGACTATTCTGGAGTATTGGTTGGTAACCTTAGTCATGAGTCACGTGGGCTTGGTTTTATAGGGGACCAGGAGAGAATATCAAAGTTTTCGTTTTTTTCTCTGCATCAGAGCAAAGGTGTGTCTGGAGCTGGCTTGATTGCTAATCAGTGGAGATGAAACAAGAAATTGGCTTCTCCTAATCCTGGCCTGGCCCTTAATCACAAGTGTTGAGACCATTTCTCCATCAATTCCCAGCTGTAGAAGACATCAGTGATGTGTGCTAGCCTGCCAGGACACAATGCATGCCCTCCCAGCTCCAGGAACTGGCCATATTCACACCTTTCCCTTTTCATAAATCAGACACATCTGAGTCACAGAAGCAATCTGGGCTCAGACCAGCAACCCCCTAGATTTGGTCTCAACCTGCCCTTGGTTCCACAGTGCTGCACTCTGGAATGCCAAACTGGCCCTTTCCTGGGTGTCATGGGGAGCCTATTACTAGCTCTGTAGCTGTTGCAGTGATAAAAGGAGAACTTCTAAGTTCTCTTGATCCTACATGTTTCAGAAAGGAAAGCTCTTTCAGAGAAGGAGGGGTTTGATAAAGCATCGATCAGTGGAAGGGGTCAGAAATGGATAGTCCCTTATTTTTGTTTTAAATGTAAACTTCCTAAATTCTGTTTTCACAGTTCGTGCTGTGATTTAGCTTGGCTTTGCTATGTTGCTTGTATTTGCTATAGAGGCTCCAAGTAGGGATCAGGAACTCCTTTTGCTCTGCTCTGTATAGCATACGCATAACAAAAGGAAGGTCTGTGCCCCAAAGAGCTTACAATCTAACTATGTGATGAGACAAACACATGCATCCAACAGACATATGGAGGAGCACAAGGTAACAGAGAGACACAATTTTTTTGTCAAATTAACTACTGTCTCCTGAGGAGGTGGATTAACTACCCTTCCTGTTGCTGTAGGAAGTGTCTATGCTGAAGCATAGACCAGCCGCAAGACACACACTGCATTCAGTGTGCCATAGGAGGGCTGTGTTGGAGCAGGGAATTGAACCCAGGTCTCCTGAATCCTGGGCTAGAGCACTAACTCCTGGGCCATCTTTCCTCTTGAAAATCAAAATCATGAGTCATTGACATATTGCTTAACAGCTCTGTGCCTCGGTTTACCTAACCGTAAAGTAGGGATTAATATTCGTCTCCTTGCATAGGATGTTGAAAGGACTTTTAATTAATGTGTTTTTTAAAGTCAACATGTAGATCCTCAGGAGAAAGGTACTACCGAAGTGTGTATTTATTATTTATTTTATTTAGTAGCAGTTTTTCTTTTGCTAGGGATCCAGTTTCTGAGTGTGTGTTATGGGCCTGAGATGTGGGTGTACTGTATATTTAGTACAAAAAGGCAGGGAGAAGTATTATAGGTCATCCGTAAAGAGAGGGAAGTTGGGGGGGGTTGCCCCTTTTTGCTTCTGTATGTTGTGTGAAAGTTGTGATACTTTTTTTTCCCTCTTGTTTTTTCATACTGGAAATTGAGGTCCTTGGTAGGCTGGAAGACTGCGGAACTAAAGCAATGGTAATGAGAGCTAATAGTGAAAGAGATGTGGAGTTCTAGTCACACCATCAAACACTTTCATGTTGCTTTTGTTCGTTTGTTTTAACATTTATTTAACTTGAGTTAACACTGTTGCTCCTTCTGCTGAGGTACTAGATCACACAATCGACCTGCTCTCAAGCCTTCCCTGTGGGTCCTTCTGCAAAATCAAGAAAGACCAAACTTGATATTCCTGACTCTTCCACAGTTGTGGGAGGGGAGAAAATCTTAAAACCCCAAAACTCCTTTCAGGCTTCCTTTATACGCTGGAAAGGGAACAGGCCTTATCTTAAAAAAAAAAAAAAATCTTTAAGCATTCTTGCAAAAACAAAGCCCACCTTGAGATTATAGTGTGATGGGTTTTGGTGGTGTTTTTTTTTTTTTTTTTAAATTGCTCATGCCCCTATCATGCTGTTTTACCCTTACTGAACTGTTGCAGTTACTTGTGACTTGAAAGCTTAGCAAGAGGGAATTTGTGTTTCCTCTATTTCTTGTTGAAGTCTTTAGAATAACCCAATATGTCCATAGGCCTCTCACTGAGAATGGCAGAGAGTCCTGTGGCACCTTATAGACAAACAGACATATTGGAGCGTAAACTTTCGTGGGTGAATACCCACTTTGTCAGATGCATGTAGTGGAAATTTCCAGAAGCAGGTATAAATATGCAAGCAAGAATCAGGCTAGGGATAACGAGGTCAGTTCAGTCAGGGAGGATGAGGCCTCCTTCTAGCAGTTGAGGTGTGAACACCAAGGGAGGAGAAACTGCTTTTGCAGTTGGCGAGCCATTCACAGTCTTTGTTTAATCCTGAGCTGATGGTGTCAAATTTACAAATGAACTGAAGCTCAGCAGTTTCTCTTTGAAGTCTGATCCTGAAGGTTTTTTTTGCTGCAGGATGTTCAATGTCATGGGGGCGGGTGGGGGGTTGTTGATTCGACACATTGCAGTGTATTTTCCATAGGTTCAATCATCAGCAATATCTGAGAGTAGAGCCGAGCCCAGCAGCCACAACTGTGGTGATGGAGAATATCTGCATCAAGACTGCTGCTGTAAATACTGTCCTGCTGGTAAGCACTTAGTGATCTGTAGTTCACTTGGCTAACAAAGCGTTTTTCAGAGATGATGATTGTACTGGTTGGTTTTTGTGCTGTAAGATAAAACCAATGAGAGAACAATACATGTTTGCAAAAGCCAGAGAGGGCCATTTTATGCTGTTCCTCCTCCTCTTCAGCGGTGCGGCTCACTTCGGAATGGTATCCAACCTTCCACTAAATAGGGTGTGCCTGGGTGACCTTGGCAGTCGGTCAAGAAACGTGGGCATGCTATAAAAGGCAGAGTCTACGTCAGTACTGAAGGAAGCTGTTCAAAGTTAAACAGCTTTGTTTGAACTCTTGAAAACTGAACCAATGCCCTGACCACTCGTTTTATTCCCCCAGCATCACCTAATCGTAATAATGCTTTGTCAGATACAAACACTCGGTACCGATAGTCAGCAGAAATTTTATGTATTTTAAATCAACATGCAAAACTTTTCTTTATTTTGTAAACTATATGCATGTCCATCTTGGAGATGGGTGTAAAATTCATTCATTCTTTATAGGGCCCTTTGCTCCTTGGCACAAAGCTAAGCGAATTCTATCCTCAATTTGTTATAATCTCATCAGGTTTGCCCTGTGGATTTTCTAAACCTTGTGAGTGAATTTAGTACTCAAGTGTCAAATTTGCCTTTGCACAGAGACCTTGAACAAGGCATATACATTATTTGAATGTGACTTAAGCCCTGTTTTAAGGACTTAGGCCCTGATTGTGCAATTGATAGCAGATGGGCACAGAGGCCTATCTGAGCGCTCTCAACAGTTCACCCATGTGGTATGAACTGCAAGAGCGGAGCCACAAGTAAGATTTAAGTGCAGTGTAGGCCTCATGTGGGGTGGATTTCACTCAAAGTGAGGAGCTAATGACACTGGTTTCAGAGAGAGAGAGCGTTAGCTAGAGCTGTATGAGCTCCCCTATACTTTATTTACCACATCAGTCTCACCTGAGGCACTTTCACTAATCTATTCCTAGCCTGTTCTGAGCGCAAACTGTTAGTGGTGCTGAACTATGACAAACTGCTTATTAATAAATAGGGATGTGAATATGTGTCCAAATAGAACTAAGAAAAACATTGAAACAATTATTTTATTGCTAAAACCTTCCTTTTGGAGAAGAAAAATACAGGCATCTTTATTAGTAGAATATTTCAGAAAAATGACAAAAAAACAGGGAATTATTATTGATGGAAATTTTTGTAAAACATTTTCCCCTCTATCTATAGAGGAGGAAAACCCGCAAGCCTATTGGCCTCTTATTACTAGTTATTTATGTGTTTTTTCTAATGTTATCTGGCCACTGACGTCTAAGTGTTCTTCCTGGTTTTGTTGTGTATACTTAATCTCATTCAGCTCCACTCCTTGCAAGGAGAGTGGCTGAAAGGAGTCATGTTGCAGTATGCTTGAATAACAGTTAACTGTATCCTAATACTACCCGAGATATACAGCTTTAGTGTTGAATTTCTGCTTCTCCCTTTATACAGGCACTTATGTTAGTAAACACTGCAAGGTTCCACATACAGAAGGAATTTGTTACCCTTGCACAGATGGAGAGGATTATACTGCTCATGCAAATGGCCTAGATGAATGCCTTCGATGTAAACTGTGCAAAGAAGGTATAGTACAAAGCTTGGGCTGATCTGTAAATACAGTTGGGTTGTTTTGGGCAAAAGCTTTGGTGGTCTTTGTTCCGCAGAAAAATCTGTTGTCTTAATCCCCTTTCTTATTTTCATAGATTTAAAAACACTTACGCTTTTTTAAATAACTGATGCTTGGTAGAAAAGGAATTGCAAATTCAGCTGGATTACATTTGTAATTTATATGATTAACTTACTTTTCTCAGATCAAGTAACTGTGAACACCTGCACTTCGATGAGCGATACTGAATGTCAGTGCAAGCCAGGCTATTTCTGTCCGACTCAGGACTGTGAGATGTGTTACAGGTGCAAGTCAAAGTACGTATAAGATCCGATTTAGGCAGTTGCCTTCCATATAGTACAGTCAAAAGTAGAACCTAGCTCCTGTAAATGCTTACCCACATGTTTACCTTTCGACACGTGAATAATCCCATTGAAGTCAACGGGGCTGCTCGTGCGTTTGAAGTTAAACCTATGCCTGAGTGTTTGCAGGATCAGCGCCTAGAACTGAACGTACTGCTGTCCTGTTTGAGGCTTCTGCCTGTACACAAACATTTCCTGATTCCTTCACCTGCCACATTTGAATAGGCTTTGGACGGCTACCAGTCAGGACAGCTAATGTCAGTCAAGCTACCCAGAATTTTATAACAAGGGACCAACTGTTGAAGGAGACTAATTAAGTACGTGATTAGTTAACACTTCTTCTCAGTATTTTTTCCCTTTGAATAAATATTTGTGTACGTTAATCTCTCCCCGTGGGCGTCTGTGTTTTTGCTGTGCTGCCACATAATCTTCTAGCATCCTTTTTTCTTCTGTTTTTCAAGCACTCTTTCTTAGTGACTGGTGAGAAAAGACAGTTTTGTTTTGTTTTTTAATTTGCACATTCTGTCCATGTATATAAATTATTCCTTGAGAGTAGGAGTTAGCACGAGTACAGATTGGATTGCGTAACCATTATATTTTTATCATCAATTTTAGGTGCCCAGAAGGGAAAGAAATTGTACAAAAATGCAATGCTACAGTTGACCTGGAGTGTGGCCATCCTCCCATAGGTACAGTATAAACTATGCTAAGGGAGGTCTGATGACTTTCTGACTCTGTAGGTAATTCAGAAGCAGAGTATAAAAGTGAGGCTTTGAAATCCTACTGTTAAGTGTTTGACGAGCCCACGTAATTCACACTAGCAGCCGCTAGATGGAGACAAAGACTCTCCAAGTGTGAGTTGTGTAACCAACCAATATTTGTGGTGATATTTAAACTAGCACAGGGGACTTGTCTTGGTGGAAAGGATTACATAGTGGACGCGCCTTTCCAAAGTGTCACGTTCACACAGTTTAAAGCTATAGGTAGCATGCCTTTCAAATACTCAGTTAAGTATTAAAACGTGAAAAATATCTGTATTGTGGCATAAATCTGAAAAGATATAAAATGTATTGAATTTCTTTTCCCCTGTAGAGCCTGTAGATGCCCTTCTACTAGCTTTTAATTTGCACCGACACACACCAGCACCTAGATACCCTAATGGTGTATTAATATCTGAGAGATGGTGGCTTTCTTGGGGCAGAGACTAGAGGTTTCACTGTAACAAACTGCTGAATTTCACAGGCGTTGGTCTCCATTTTTATCTGCAGCATCAACATTCTTACACTGCAAAAACAACTGTCTTATGAGTGGCTTTAGTATTTCAAGCTTGCTTGCTTTTTTTTTTTTTTTGCAGGGACTGCGAATGCTGCAGGTTGGATTGGTGGGGTCATCGTTATGTTCGTTCTTTTTGTGGTTGGGTGCCTTCTTTTTCTTTTCCTTAAGAAAAGGATATCATATAATAAAACAAATAAAGGTAATTAAAATTCCTTTCCATGGATAACCTGAGATACACAAAGACTCAAGTTTCCAAAGCTAAACGAAGTAAAAGCTGAGGTTGTCCTTATGGCTTCTGTCTGCCCTCGCTCCGAGCTGCTGCACTGCTTCCGGAAAGAGCTGGCAGGTCCCCGTGGTCCCTGGGGAGGGGGTTGCCACACGCTGCCCCCGCTCCAAGCACTGACTCTGCAGCTCCCATTGGTTGGGAACTGTGGCCAATAGGAGCTGCGGGGGCGGTCCCTGTGGGCAGCGGCGCATGGAGACCCACTGGGCCCCCTGCCTAGGAGCCACTGCCAGGGGGGTGTGCCAGTCGCTTTCAGGAGCCGCCCAAGGAAAGTACTGACACCCTCTTACACCCCTGCCCCACCAAGCGCCTGCACCCCACACCCAAACTCCCTCCCAGATCCCAACTCCACACCCCATCCTGCACCCCTGCCCCAGCCTAGAGCCCACACCCAAACTCCCTCCCAGAGCATGCACCCCCTCCTGCATTCCAACCCCCAGCCTAGAGCCCGCACCCCAACTCCCTCCCAGAGCCTGACCCCACACCTCCTCCTGTACCCCAACCCCCTGCCACAGCCTGGTGAAAGTGAGTGAGGCTGGCAGAGAGCAAGCAACGGAGGGAGGGGGGATGGAGTGAGCAGGGGGTAGGGCCTTGGAGAAGGGGCAGTACAGGGGCATGGTTTCAGGAGGGAGGCAGGGCAAGGATCTTTGGGTTTGTGCAATTAGAGAGTTAGCAACCCTGCTGGGCAGGCATGTGAAAGCCCTGGCCATGCCAGAAGAGCATGTCCGGCCAGCACAGCCGGCAGCTCGCTGGGCACCAGCCAGCACAGGTGCAGCACTGCCCAAATGTCGGGCAGACGTGTCCGCGCAGGCGTGGCTTGTGTGTGCTTGGAGGCCCATTGACTCTTCTGCCCTTGGGCCCGGAATTGCTGTCAGCGGGCCTGCTTCCATCCTAGCTGTGTCTACAGCAGGAGTTTTGGTTGATCTAATTATTTTGCACAGGGCATGACGTTTTTCACAGCCTTGAGTGATATAGCGTGGTGACCTAAGTTTCAGGTGTAAACCAGGTCTCTGACTAGCTTTTGAAACTGAGGCCTAAAACATTTTAAAGATCATAGAATCTCAATAGATTACTACAATTAACAGAAAAGATAATGTTTATTTGTTGGAAAGTGGAATTTGGCTGGGCTTATTAAGTGGAACTAGACCCCAAATAGAACTCTGTTAATATCTATCTAGTACGTACAGTATGCCCCAACCATTTGTGCTCCAGTAGATTTGGCCAGAAGGAAGTCATTCAGTTCCTTGAACTTGTCAGCCTGCTCTACAGGTTACCTACATTTAAACTTCTGGTTGCAGAACTCTCTGACACAGATTCTCAATCTCAATGTAACCAATATACTAATTCAGCTATATTTAAACAATATAATTTAGTAGAGAGATTTTAATTTATATTCTTCATACGTTTCAGAAAACAAAGATGCAGAAAAAGATGTGGTAAGTTTCCTTTGGACACATGCCACTTTTCTTTTACCTGTATGTTTATTGCATAAAAGTTCTTTTAAATTAAATTGAAACTGTTTAACTATAGATGATGCACACCTTTAGTCACTTTCTCTGCCCTGCTTGCTGTTGTGTATTGGAACACTTTTCTTCACTTCATACAAAAACCCAAAACTTTTATGTCATCTAGTTCACTTCCTGTTAATGTTGGATTGTTCTCTACCATATAATGTATTCTTTAGTGTCTTGTTTAGTTTTAAATGCCCGATATGATGGAGCTTCCAGTACCTCCCTTGGAAGAATATTTTAGAGCTCTAATATGTCTGTCAGGAAGCCTTTCCTGATAACCTAACTTTTTCATTAATTTCATTAACTACATACCATTATTTCTAGTTATATCCTCTTGTAATGTCTTAAATAGTTCCGCTTACATATTAGGGGTTTACACTCTTCAAATGTATATCAATAGTTATATCCTCCCTCAGCACCCAACCATTAGTAAATGCTTAGCTTCTTTCTCTCACTTTAAATATAACTGGTGTTCTTACACGAGTAGTTCCATTTGAGGTTGTTAGAACTCATAAAGTGACCAAGATTTTTACCCTTAATCTCTGCTTGTGAGTCAGTCTCTGTATGGGGTCCTGATCCATGCTCGGTGTTTGGAACACTGTCACAATACAGATAAATAATAGCCCCATCATTTTTGCTGCTCTGCTTGGAATACTGCAGCTGTAAATATCACTGTGATATTGACATGCCAAGAACTGCACATCTTGCTTAAAGACAACCTGCTTAAGAAAAATTGTAATTTGTAGGGAATTTTGGCAAAATCTTCAGTTTCTCCATTAGGTATGTAAGGAGCTTCAATTTTTATATTTGGGTTAAAGTTTAATACTAGATATCATTGGAAGGCACAGATAAGACTGTCTTAGTTACCTTTTTAATACAGACTTTTACTTAAATAAAAGTAAGAGACACAGTTCAAAGGCATTTGTTTATTAACTGCTGTTCTAGGACAAATTTAAAAAAAAACACCCCCACCTCAATTCTGCAAGATGCCTTAGGGAAGTCGGTCACTTTAAACTGTGTGTGACAGTTGAGGTCCATCATAAGTGGCTCAACTATCTAAGCACCCAGCTGTGTTTTGTCATTGTTTTTGTTCTGAACTTGCAGGGTTATTTTGTGTGTTCTGTAAAGGCTTAGCAAAGTAATAGGTTACGATAAAGATGCAGAGAGAGGGTTAAACTGGGGTAGTGGTAAGAGCTGTGGAAGTATTCTGCTCAGGTTCTCACAGGCCCAGAGCAGATCTCTCTGTTAAAATGATCAGCAGTGAAATAGTTAATATTTACATTTTAAAATGCAATTGTTAAACTTCAGAGTTAATACCAAATGTGGCTAGCTCACCTCCCTGCCCCTCAGCCCACTTGGCATGGGGTTGGTTACGTGGTTGGAGAGTGTAGTTTAGTGATAAGGGAGTTATTGTAGCCTTTTTTCCTAAACAAAAGAAAAATAAAAAAAATCCTATTTTCAACAGATGTGGCTCTCTCCTTGCCTAACTACAGAAGCTCACATGTAACTTCTTTGCCATTCTGTAAAGGTCTAGTGATTAAAGCTGCTCCTGTTTGTCACTTGTTAACACTGTAGCTTCTGAATTTTTATGTGGGATGTCTTGCTCACAATGAGGCATTAAGTATGAAATGTTCTTCCACTGCAACAGGGGTGGCCAACCTGAGCCTGAGAAGGAGCCAGAATTTACCACTGTATGTTGCCAAAGAGCCACAGTAATATGTCAGCAGCCCTGCTGATCAGTGCCTCCCCCTCCCTCCCTGCACCTCCCAATCAGCTGTTTCGTGGTTTTCAGGAGGTGTAGGGTGGGGGGAGAGGAGCGAGGGCACTGCAGGCTCAGGGGAGGGGTCAGGAAGGGGTGGAGTGGGGGCAGGGCCTGTGGCAGAGCCAGGGGTTGAGTAGTGAGCACCCCTGGTACATTGGAAAGCTGGCGCCTGTAGCTCCAGCCCCGTAGTCGGTGCCGGTACAAGGAGCCGCGTATTAACTTCTGAAGAGTCGCATGTGGCTCCGGAGCCACAGGTTGGCCATCCCTGCACTGCAAGGTTCTTGAGAGCTTGCCTACAAAGCTATGTATGCTTTAATAAAGCACTCTTAATTAGCACTCTCTAATAAGTCACTCTTATTCCTTACAGGAGTCGGAGGATAGCACTGAAATTTTCTTTGCACCAGAAATGGAGAATGCTAATGCTAGTGCACCCATTTTAGACATCCAAAACTCTGTTCAGAGTCCACCAGTTTTAGCAGTTAATAGTCCTGATTCTCTACTAAGAAATGAATTGCCTGAGGATACCAGTGTTGCATTTTCTGAGAGAAGTGGCCTACTTCTAAATGGTGAAAACAACTCATGGGAAGAGTCTTACCACAGGACTGCAGGATATTCAGCACCAAACAAGCGTCCAGACAAGCCCAATTTTGTCTCCCACCCTGGACAGTCAAATGGTGGGATGTCCGTATCTCAGACGGTAAGTGGGAAATGCTCAGTGTGTCATGAAATCTGTTGTGTAATTTCATGGAAGAAAGGTAATAGCTGCTTCTTCTAACATCTAGAGCTCCCTGGCTTGCAGAATGATTTGGTAATAAAATAGACCCCCATCACCCCCCAAAAGGATATGAAATATGCTTTTGCATTATCTTAAATTTGGATGTTTGTTTGAGGTGGTATCAGAAATTTCCATCACTCATCCAGTCAACCTAGAAACATTGTTTAATTAAGTGACTGCTATACTCTTCTTTCCACTGCTTAGTACCAACAGGGAAGACACTTTTCTTGTTAAGGGATTATTAGCTAGTGGCAGAGCTGGATTTTCTGGCTGGGCAGTTTTATTCAGGTGTTTGAACTTGAGTTTATTCTGTGAAACTTTTGAATTCTCAGACCTACCTTATAGATACTGTGAAATCAAATCACCAGATCAAGGATAGTGATTATAAATAAGCAAAAAATGTTTTCTGTTTGAATAAACATGGGTGTTTATATTGCAGGTCAGGGATTCTGAAGCCAGGCCTCATATAAAAGTTAAAGAGCTTTCTCGAGAAGGTGAGTAGTTCAAATAGCCCACCTTATTAGGGATCTAAAATTGGTAATAGTCAGCGGAGTACTGGGCAAAATGTGACTGTCTGAATTCATTGTACATAGCTGAATGAGAAAATAGATATTTGTATAAATGTTTACAAAAATTTTGTCCTGCTTACTGTATTAGCACTTCTAAACTGCAGATTGTTTGTTTGCTGCATTTTAATTATTTTTGTACTTCTGAAAAACTGCTTCAAAAACAAAACAAAAAAAACCTCATCGCACCCCCCCACATACATTTCATAGCAAATAACTATTTATACAGAAGGACATCTCTTTTGCATAATGTATTCCTAGGGACATGAGACATAGGACTAGAAGTTACATTATGGGTCGCAGCGTCCAGTTTCCTGCTATCACAGGCCACCCCCATCATATACTCTGAATAGTGATCTTTAACAACATGAATATGTGTCAGTAACCTTAGGAACAGTAGCTTTTTAGAGCTAATCATGCTCTAGTAAAAGGTCCATTTATGTACCAGCAGTGTAATCCGTAGCATGCCATGTAAGGACACAGAGGGGTGTGTTTTGTTTTGTGTTGTGGGTTTTGTTTTTTTTTTTTTGTACTGCAGCTTTACCATTCAAACAAATAAAATGCCAGGGTGTATCAGATACCAGTGAACTAGTATAGTGTATGGCACTGAAGGAAGTAAACCATGTTCTGATGGAGGGTACTGGTGATATCAGTCTTACCTTGGCAAACTATATCATACTGATAGTTGTGTAGATGGGTGGGTAAAATTAATTGCTAAGAGTGATCAGAAAGCCATCAAAAGTGAACAAGGACCTTAAAACTACAGTGAAATCTGTACAAAGGGCATCTTCAATAGACGATCTCCCATCTTAAGAGACCACTTTGAAGTATGCATAATGACATCTTTGACCTTTTAAAAAGATGGTTTTGAATAGGAAACCAGTTGGTTACCTGTTCCTTGGGTGTTAACTTAGGACAGGCTTCACCACTTTTGTTGAACTGAATCTTTTTATTGTATTGACTTTCAATAGTATACATGAGTTTTTGTTTTTAATGTAAAACAGTTCAGGTCATGCTAATCAGATTCCATAAAATATATGGGTACAACTTGATTTTAAAATCATACTCTCTGCTCCTGTCTTACACTTGGGGCCTGTTTACATGGTAAAGCAATGTGCACCAGAGGGGTGTGAGTTCTAAAGTGCACCTGTTTCACACTAACTGGCCCATGTAGACCCCCCTGGCACACACTAAAAGTCCCTAATGCACGTTAACATTAAGGAACTTTTAGCGCGTGCCAGCAGTATCTACGTGGGCCAGTTACCATGCAATACGGTGGTGCGCATAGGAATTCATACCCCATTGCTGCACAGTGCCATACTATGTAGACAAGACCTAAATTGTATATTAAAGGAATAAAATGACTACATTTAGAACAAATCAGTTATGATTTTATTACGGCATAAGAAAATTTCAGGTTTAGATGTCTTCTGAAGTCTATGTAATGGTGCTTTTCATCTTCTACAGATAGCTGCCATGCAAAGTAAAACATACCTCTCTATTTGTATTCCCAATTTATCAGTAGCTGGTTGAACAGATACCGTATAGGCCAACAATGCAGTGTGGGAGGAAATGGAGTATATTGCTGAAATACTCTCAAGGGTTTATTTAAGCCCTTAAATCAAATTATGTGCCAAGGAATGTTAAACTACAAAGGGGAAAGGTAGTAAAATGGCAAATGACCTGGATTTATCTGAGAACCTATACAAGTGTACATAGGCATCTATAGAAATGGTCATTTTAAAATATTCAATGCGCTTTTTTTTTTTTCCCCAGCACTAAGTGACAGTTTTTATTATTTTATGAAAGAAGTGCCATCACGGAACTGGAACATGTTTATGAGAACTCATCTAACAGATAATGAAATATATAACACAACTTTTGAACATCCAACAAATATTGAAGAGCAAAATTATCAGATGTTAATCATTTGGAGAAACAAATTTGGAAATGAGGCTTCCATTATTAAATTATTAGATAGCCTATGGAATATAGGACTTAGAAGGTCTCATGAAAACATAGTAAACCATTTAATAAGTAAGGATATTATAACTATACTAGAGGCCGAAGACTAATGAGTATACTATTATCAACAAAAAAACCAAAGCCAAAAGGATCTGTAAACTCTATAGATATGTTTCTATGCACAACCTTGCTTTAGTGCATATTGCCATTTTTTTTTTATTGTTGGTTTAAGAAAACTTGAAAATATCAACATAAAAACTACTGGTAAAACAAATAGAGAAATGAGTTCAGGTATCTTCACTGCAACTCGTGTCCTCTAGAATAGCGGAGTCTCAGAAATGTATCTTACAGGACTCTACTTGACATTTGTTAAACGAGACAAGGATTCAAGTTGCTGTGTTCACTGAGAATGTGTCCTGAGTTGTAATACATTAAATAAACTTGGGTACCCTTTTCATGTTCAGCTGAGGAAAGAACATAAGTGTATGTTAAACTATATAATAAACTTTGAATACTGTTATGTCTTGGGAAATGAGAACTGTAAGGGGAACCTCACCGTGACTGGATGGAGTGATTTGTTGTCATTGAAGGTTTTGAAGCATATTGTCATTTTATTATCTGCACTGATAAACTGGACCAAACAACATCCAGAATCTTAATTTATTTTTTATATGCAGCGAAGAATGTACTTATGAGAACACTGTAATATGAAGAGATTTGTAGAGTTTTAGGCCAGAATGGAGCATTAGACCATCAAGTTTGATCTCCTCTATAATTCAGGTCATTAAATTTCAGCCAGTTACCTTTGTACTGAGCCAATAACTTATGTTCAGCTAAAGCTTATCTTCCAAAAAAGCATCCAGTCTTGAAATAAAGACATCAGGAGATGAAGAATTCACCACATCCCTTGATAATTTGTTCCAAAGGCTAATTGCGCTCACTGTAAGGAATTTATGCCTTATTTCTAATTGGAATTTATCTAGCTTTAGCTTCTAGCCATGATTCATCTAGCAGAGAAAGGAAAAATACGAAAGAGCCCTTTAGTACCTGGGATTTTCTCCCCATGAAGGTGACTTGGATACTGATCCAAGTACCTCATCTTTTTGATAAGAAGAAAGAGCTCTTTAAGTCATCCACTGTAAAGCATTTTCTCTAGCCCGTGAATCATTTTTGTGGCTCTCTTCTGTAACTTTTCCAAATTTTCAACATCCTTTTTCAAGTGTGCACACCAGAACTGTATACAGTATTCCAGTCTCACCAGTGCTGTATACAGAGGTAAAATCACCCCGCTACTCTACTCACTATCCTGTTTATGCATCCGAAGATTACATTGGCCCTTTGCCACAGCATCACACAGGAAGCTAATGTTCAGCTGTTTCTTTAAATCCTTTTCATAGTCACTGATTTCCAGGAGACAGTTCCCCATTCTGTAGGTATGGTCTGCATTTCTTGTTCCTAGATGTATAACTTTGCATTTGGCTTTGTTTGAATGGGCTCAGCTTACCAATAAACAGCCTATACATCTGTTTTTAACAGTACTCTTAAATGCTGTATTTTTATTGTCCAATCTTAAAATTATGCAAATTGAATTTCTACTTCATACCTATTATGATGTACTTTATATTTTGCTATTAAAAGATTTTTCACTCTTTTAAATGTGCTGTCATTTATGAATAAATATTCGGTCTCATTCTCTCTCTAATTTTGAAGATTTTTTTAGTAATTGGGCACTGTGCTTTTTAAAAATAATATTAGTAGTACTGGAGCAATTCTGTTTTAGGGAGTTAAATACATTGAGCTAGCCAGATTAATAGTCTGCTTTTTCCTGTCCTTGGACTGAATTGAAGAAGTGATTAGTGACTATTCGTGGTGGTTATGGGATTGTGTATAATATCCCACACCCTTCAGGGATGGCTTGTTGATTAAATTCACAATTTGTTTACCATGGCCTCTTTTAGGCCTGTGTGCATTAAGGTTTTAGCTGCACTAATGTATCTGTACCAGCTGTGTATCTGATTACCAAGGCAGACAAGTATAGATAAGGAAGGGAAAGCAATTTTAATAATGTTGGCTAGGAATCATCCCCACTTCTTAGATAAAACAAACTAAACTAGATTCCTTGTGAGATGTGTTTGGTCACAGGGACCCCCTTGGGACTGTCACCTGACGTGCTGGAATTACCTCTGAGCCTGTTTTCCCTGCTAGCTTGGGACTCCAGAGTCCTGCCCTTTGAGCCAGACATGCTAGCCTGCTGTAACCTGGTCTGGTTCATGCCCCCAAAGCTGTAGACTTTAACTAAAAACTGCTCAGCAGCTTACTTGCCTCCAGCACTCAGATACCCAGCTCCCAATGGGATCCAAACCCCAAATAAATCCACCTTACTCTGTATAAAGCTTAGACAAGGTAAATTCATAAATTGTCCGCCCTCTATATCGCCGAGAGAGAGAGATGCACGGCTGTTTGCTCCCCCAGGTATTAATCACTTTTGTTTATTAATGAACCCCAAGTAAGTGATTAAGGATGAAAAAGTAGGATTTAAGTGGTTTCAAGTAATAACAGACAGAACAAAATAAGTCACCAAACAAAATAAAGCAAAAACCTGCAAGTCTAAGCCTAATACATTAAGAAACTGATTACAGGTAAAATCATCACCTTCAGAGATGGTCCAATAAGCTTCTTTCACAGACTAGACTCCTTCCTAGTCTGAGCCCAATCCTTTCCCCTGGTACAGTCCTTGTTCGTTCCAGCAGACATCTTAGGTGGAAAGCAGAGGTGTTCTCATGACTGGCAGCCACCTTTGTTCTGTTCCACCCCCTTTTACAGCTTTGGCATAAGGCAGGAATCTTTTGTCTCTCTGGGTACCCACCCTCCTTCGAAATGGAAAAGTACCAGATTTAAGATGGATTCCAGTATCCTGTGATGTGGTCATATGTCCTGTGAGACCTCATTCTTCATTACCCATGGACTGGCCCACAGGTACATAGGAAGGCTTGCAGGTAAATAAACCCATTCACAACTAATTATCCTAATCAATGGGAGCCATCAAGATTCTAAGCCACCATTAATGGCCTACACTTTGCATAATTACAATAGGACCTCAGAGTTATACTTCATATTTCTAGCTTCAGATACAAGAACCATACATACAAATAGGAATAGATTCAGTAGGTTATAACCTTTGATACCTTACAAGAGACCTTTTGCATAAAGCATATTCCAGTTACATTATATTCACATTCATAAGCATATTTTCATAAAACATGGAGTGCAACATCAGACCTCATGCATGTTTTCTTGATGAGCTGGAAGAAGAGAGCAGATAAGTACAAATCTGGATTTGAATAAACTTTTCACAAAAAAATGGGGAAACTGTCATACTTGAACAGAGCATTGCCTTATCTTCCTAGCAATGACCCTGGCATGCTAGATCCCTCAGAATGTGGCAAAACCTGCTGCACTGCATCTAACTCCTCTATTTTAATTAAGGTGCATCTGTCCAGTTGACTTCTATCTGTATTAATTTTCAGCTATGTAATATGAACCCAGGCTTTCAGCTTGGATTTGCAGAGTTGAAGTATTCCTGCAGTGCTAGGGCTGCCTACAACAGTTCTCTTCTGTACACAGAATATCTATAGTCAGCCAAGTGCCTTCTACAATTCAGCCTCCACCAGCTCTTACCTTAAGCAGCTGTGTCATTAATATAGCAACCATGATGGCATGGGTCAATTGGATGAATAGAAATTAGAATTCTCTGTGGTGTCAACTCTTGTGTGATTTTATCCTGACTCTTATGATAGTTGGTGTTTTCCTTAAAGCCCCCGCTCCTGGAGTCATCTGATGAAAGGGTTTTCTTCCCCCCCCATCTCCTGCTGGTAATAGCCCATCTTAAGTGATCACTCTTCCTACAGTGTGCATGATAAACACCCATTTTTTCATGTTCTGTGTGTATATAAATCTCCTCACTGTATTTTTCACTGAATACATCCAATGAAGTGAGCTGTAGCTCACAAAAGCTTATGCTCAAATAAATGGGTTAGTCTCTAAGGTGCCACAAGTCCTCCTTTTCTTTTTGCGAATACAGACTAACACGGCTGCTACTCTGAAACCTGATTCAGAGAGACTCCCACCTTCCGTTTTAAAATAAATGCACGTTTCTAGCCTTTGTGGTTGTGGCGAGAAGCTGCCTTGCACATGTGACCTGAGGGTGCCCTAAAGGCTTAGCAGCCAGAAGGCAAATATAAAGAACCCATGATTTTATTATTTATAACTCATTATTTTATGCCAATATCAAGTTTTTTGGGGGGAGAAGGGAGTCTGACTCATGGGGTTCAGCATGCTGGGGGTGGCAGCACTCCCCACCCTGCAGAGAACATGGCCTCCTGGCTTGGGGTGTGTGTAGGGCCTTCCCACATTGGCTCAGTGGGGAGGGGCAGCAGGGCAGGGGAAGCTCCCAGACTCTAACTCTTGCAGGGACAGGGGAGCTCAGCCTCCCTTGCCAGCCCCTCCCCCTCTTTGCAGGGACCAAGCTGATCGAGGGGGCGGAACCTCACAAGCCCCGCCTCCCAGAGCTGCAGGCAAGGCCAGAGAAGACCGGTGAATCCCATTCGCGCACGCGCACCAAGCGCTAGTACCGGCGTCTCAGCCCCCCCCCTCCGTCACGTGACTCCGTTGGCCCCCGAGGTGCGTTTCTCCCCGTTGCCCGGTTACCCTGCGGTCACCGGAAGTGTCGTAGAGAGGCGGAGTGAGGGTTTTCCATCCGGACGCGGTCTTGCATCAGCCTGTGAGAAGAGTCGGCTAGACGCGGCAGAACGAAGTAGGAGGAGGAGCAGGATGGCGACAGCCGGCGGGGAGCCCAGTAAGTGCCAGGTTCCGGGCTCGGGCGGGCGGGCGCGGCCCCTTTAAGGCCGCTCAAGGTGCAGGGCCGGTGGGGGTCCCGTCGGGCAGGTGCGCCGTGCCATGGCAACGGGTCGCAGTGTCCCGGCGTCCTCGCCGCCCGGTGCAGGGGCTGCGCAGTGATGTCATAGCGCCCTGCTGCTGCAACGTGCCGTGAGGTCATTGCACCCGTAGCCGTGGGTAGTGATGTCACCGCCACCCGCCGTCACCGTGGCTCATGAGGTCACTGCCTGGGGCACAGTGGGGGAGCGTGATGTCACCGCACCCTGGTGCAGCAGGGTGTCATGATGTGCCACCGTCCGGCTCCGGCTCATCCCGAGGGGTCGCTCTGCCCGCATGTGGCCTGGCAGCTCTCTGTTATCCTAGCACTGAATCAAACCGGTGCTGTGCTGGGACGTTGTCACCTTGCTCCTGCAGGACCTGGGATGCCCTGTTCTAAGCTGCGGTGAGCCTGCAAAGGCCAGGTCCGTGTGTTCTAGCCATGGTTTGTGGCATCAGATGTTTCCTTTTTTTCTGATATGTCAGGAAGGGGCAGTATGAATTCTGTGCGGTTTCGGGAGCTCCGCGACCTAGTTTAGCTCATGTGAAGGTCACTCGGGTATGTTTCTACCCTATAAATCAGCAGTAGTAAGACACACAGGCTTGTCAGTTGTTGGGACTGAGAAATTTAAAGATATTGGATTTAAAGATTCAGCTTTCAAAGGCACAAATGCCATTTAGTTACCTAACTACCCTAGGTGCCTAGCTGTTGTTTGTGCCTTTGAAACGACACCCTGGAGGGTTAGAAAAGATGCTATCCTGTAACAAGTCATATGGATCCCAAGCTTCTGAGGCAACTGTGTTGGGTTAGTGGTAGCACGGTGAGATGACTTACTACTGTACGAGGCAAAACTTGGGGTACCAGCAATACAAGCCTGAAGTACCATTACTGATATGTAAGTGGCTGTCATATAGGTTAAATATCCTTAAATTTCCATGTTGTCCCTTTTTCTTTGTCTCCTAAAGTTGCTTTCTTTCCTGTTCGTTAATCATAGTACTGTACGTCAGTGGGACAGACTCTTCTAATGATGGGCTCTACAAATTATAAGAATCAGTGCAGTACAGGGTTTGTTTCCGAGGGATAAACTTGGCACACGTGGTTGTGTTTAAAAGCGAAGGAGTGACAGTCTGCATTCCAGACCCCTGACATAAGACCTGTTCTACAGAATAGCTCCTACAATCTCCCCATGTGAGCCATATTGTGGTACATAGAATCATAGAATATCAGGGTTGGAAGGGACCCCAGAAGGTCATCTAGTCCAACCCCCTGCTCGAAGCAGGACCAATTCCCAGTTAAATCATCCCAGCCAGGGCTTTTAAGCCTGACCTTAAAAACCTCTAAGGAAGGAGATTCTACCACCTCCCTAGGTAACGCATTCCAGTGTTTCACCACCCTCTTAGTGAAAAAGTTTTTCCTAATATCCAATCTAAACCTCCCCCACTGCAACTTGAGACCATTACTCCTCGTTCTGTCAGCTGCTACCTTTGAGAACAGTCTAGAGCCATCCTCTTTGGAACCCCCTTTCAGGTAGTTGAAAGCAGCTATCAAATCCCCCCTCATTCTTCTCTTCTGCAGGCTAAACAATCCCAGCTCCCTCAGCCTCTCCTCATAAGTCATGTGTTCCAGTCCCCTAATCATTTTTGTTGCCCTTCGCTGGACTCTCTCCAATTTATCCACATCCTTCTTGTAGTGTGGGGCCCAAAACTGGACACAGTA